GACCCACAGGGATAGGGCGGGGCCATAATATCTGACCAAAGTTTTACATAGAAATATATAGAAAAATTCTTTAAAAATCTTCTTCTCAGGAATAACTTAGCCATAATTCATCATATATATATGGAAGCATCCTCAGGTAGTGTAGATTCAAGTTTGTTCAAATCATGACCCCTGGGGGTAGGGTGGGGCCACAATGGCTGACCAAAGTTTTACATAGAAATATATAGGAAAATTCTTTACAAATCTTCTTCTCAAGAATAGCAAAGCCATAATTGATCATATTTATATGGAAGCATCCTCAAGTAGTGTAAATTCAACTTTGTTCAAATGATGACCCCGGGGGGTAGCGCAGCTAGGATAAGGCTGTCCGTAAAATATAAAACTGTTCAGACTGTAGTTACTTCTCTGAACTACCAAGATATGACGTCATAATAGAATATGACGTCAAGTCACTGCATACTTGAGCTGACATGACGGGGAAAGTGTCATAATTTGTACATGTTATATAGATTTATTTTGGGTCCTTGTTGTTTTATCCAAGTGTTAGGATTGTTTTTAAGCTCCGATGTGTTATTATGAAGGTGAACATTTGAAATTTAAATATTCTTATTTCTTTTCCTTGTCTGATATGCACATAATCAAACAACAGAGAAAAACTATGTGTGAAACGCTCCCCTCACACTTCGGTAGACAGAGTGAGAATTTAAGAATCGTGTTTATATTGGACTGGCACAAGTGAAAGACAAGGATAAATAGAAGATATTCTACGTGAATCTACAAGAGAAGTATGTCCTCTAACTGAATTTTGCTGGGGGATTGTGTGTAAATTTTCCATTTTTGTATGAATTGCGAGAAGGCGTGGAAAATACCCCCTCATTTGTTGGTAAGTTGAATTTCTCGTAAAATATTTTCTTAACAAGTAAAAATTAAACCTGCCCCCAGCACTTTCTATGTACCAGAGATCCCGATGAATCGATCAAGGTAACAAACTTTGCACAATATTTTTGTTTTGCACTTGTGCCGAAGCGATTTTTGTGCAACATTTAGGAATGTCATAAATCTCCGTCACGTGATCAACACAGTCATGTGACATCACAAAAATACTTAATTATAATACCTGATTAAGCTGTCAACTAAAGTTGACTGCAATTTCAAACAAGGCTTACATATTGAAATTAAAATCTAGCTCAAAATAAAATGTATATTTTTAAGGCATTTTAGGCCTTCGGACAGCCTTATCATAACTGCGAGGGCAGGGCCTCAAAGGCCGACCAAAGTTTTACATAGAAATGTATAGGAATTTTTTTTAAAAAAATTGCAAAGCCATAATTGATCCTATTCATATGGAAGCATCCGCAGGTTGTGTAGATTCAAGTTTGTTCAAATCATGACCCCCTGGTTAGGGTGGGGCCACAATGGCCGATCAAAGTTTTACATAGGAGTATATAGGAAAATTCTTTAAAAATCATTTTCTCAAGAATATCAAAGCCATGATTGGTCATCAAATTACTTTGCCAATTTCATGGTATCAAAAACTTTTTCCTAAACAGTAATGAGGTTTGTAAGGATTTTTATACATGTTTTTTTTCTGAATCACATTTGTTTTATGTTGCTGTCTTTTGTATAACAGGAGATGTTCTGGATACTATAGACACCAGACAGATGAACAACTCCTATGGAGCAGTGTCACCGTGTGGTCGATTTGTGGCTTCATCAGGTCAGGAGGAGGGAACAGATTATTATTTTTTGATAACATTAACACAGTTCATGTATTTTAACACTCTTTGAATTAAAGTGAAATAAATTTGAATCATGAAATAAAATTTCATGCATTAAAAATGATTGTCATTAAATGGCCAATCAGAGTTAAGAGATTGCTAAAGCACTAGTACATGAACATCAGGGATTTAATTGGTATTATTCTATTGATGTTTTGAAGGTTTTACTCCTGATGTTAAAGTATGGGAGGTAGGATTTGACAAAGGTGGAAGCTTCACCGGATGTAAGAGAGCATTCGAGTTGAAAGGTCACTCAGCTGGGGTGTACAGTTTTAGCTTTAACAGTGATTCTAGTCGGTAAGTCACCCCAAAAAAAATTATGGCTTTTATAAAGAAAAACATTCAAAGGGAGAACAATCAAAAAAGAGAAAGTTCTTGAGCTAAATCTCTTACTACTTTCATGTTTTTCTCCCTTTTTAATTCTATGAAAGCTAACACAATTTTCAGTTTTTCTGTTTCATCTTTTTTCAAAAGATTTTCAAAGAATTTTCCAGTATACTGTAGATTCCACAATATTCCAGTGTGCAAATCGATTCCTGATTTTGGCCCAACCAAATATCTAGGGTCCAGTATTTGAATTCAGAACATGCACTATCTTAGGAAGCTTCCATATAAAGTTCTTAAGAAGAAGGTTATCTTAATGACCCACCCTATTTTTTGCCTTTTGTGTTTTGTGTATTATCTTGAATTAGAAATGGGCTTGGATCATCATTTTAAAATAATAAGTTTCATTTTTACCCTACAAAGATGCTTTTTACTAATACATGTACTGGTTTAATTTAAACCAAAGTTAATTTAAACTTTAAATTAATTTTGTGTTTTCAAAAAGACAATTGATATGTAAAAGTTAAAAGAGGGACAGGTGAATAGAGAACCAGAAAGATAGATGCTGGACAACTGGTGTTCAGAAAAGCTCACTTCAAAAATCTAAGGAACAACTTTAAATAGACAAACTCATTTGAGATTATGCATTTGAGTGTTTGACTCAAAAGAGCTAAACTAGGCTTTCTTAAATTTATTTCTATTCTCTTGTTGACAAAAAGTTTTTAAAACATTCATTATTGTTTATTTCAGAATGGTGTCTGTCTCAAAAGATAAAACATGGAAATACTGGAACACTAACAGTGAGAAACTATTTGTATTGCTTATACTGAAATCTAGCATTTGTAAAAAATATATAAGCACAGCTAAAAGTTCAATAGTATTTATTAGGGGGTGAGGTGGGGGTGGAATATTGGTTTTCCAACAAAATACAACTTTTTCATTTTTATTTGGAATTTCCCTATCCTTGGGAAATATCCTAATTAGGTAGACAAGTTTGCTTTAAATATGAATTGATATTATGTATAAACATGTATTTTGTGTTTTTTTCATTACAGTAAGATATGAAATGAATCAGGATCCATACCTTTTAAAAACTGGGAGTATAGACTTTACCTCCCCTTGTTTGATTTCTCTGTCACCAGATGGCAGAAGTGTTGCAATTGCTAGTGAGAGTTCAGTTAGTGTTCATAATGCTATAACTGGAGAGCAAGAAGAAAAATTTTCTCAAGTGTTTTCAGGTATGTTAAAAAATTTCAACCACATAGAGCCAAAAAGGAGGGGGAGGGTTATTTCCCCCCAAAACTGCAAATTTCTATAAGGACTTTTGCTTTGCAAATATATATCTGCAAGTTTCAAAAATTTTTAAGAAAAAAACAAAAAAAAACTTGTTTTATTAAATAGGAGTACAATGTACCTTATCTTCAATTTCAGGAGAGGTAACTGACATATCGTTTGATTTAAGTAACAAGTACATTGTGTGTAGTGGTGATAGGCAAGTCTCTGTATTCAATAACATAACTGGATACCGAGCCTCTATTGAGGACCTGCAGGAAAAAGTCAAAGAGGCCCAAACACAGGCCCAGAAGGAGAGAATCCGACAGCAAATCAACGAAGCACAGTATGTCTTGTTAAATATAAAATCGCAATGTACATTATGATTATATCAGCTATATTAGCCGAGTGTAATTTTGTTGTTTGATTTTGCTTTTATACAGGGAGGCTTTGGATAACTTACTAGGACAGTCTAATGGACATGCAGGAGGCAAAAAGGAGTAGAAAGATCTCCCATAATTTTCTGACATTCCTATCAGTGAAAGGGAAATTATTCTTCATGACAGAGATTTTTTATTGGCAGCAACTTCTGAAGTGCCACTTTTTATTCTCTAATTTGTCAATTTATTTGACATTTTTTTTTTATTAAAGACATTTAAATTTCTTGTTTTGTTCTTTGTTATCCATGTTTGTATAGGGTAATGTAGTAAAAATCAAACTTTGAACCATTGAAAATTCAGGGGGCCGACTATAGTTTTATTGTGTGAAAACTACAATAGCGAAACTCTTCATTTTTATACCATATCTAACTTACATTAACTTCAGTGTACATGCAAAGTTTGGGGGAAATCTACCTTCCAGGTATTTTTGAGGGACCGTCTCAAAATACAGGTACATTTACTATAGGATTATATAGGAAAATGCCAATTTTTAGCACTTTAAAGCAAATTATACAAATACTACAATAGACATTTTGTTCAAACTGTGATATTTGATGAGTAATACTAAATTATACAATATATGTAAGAAACACAAAATGCTACCGTTCTGTTACCAGAGGGGGCATCTCAAAATGCAAAAAAATTAGCAAATTTTACTATTTTTTTAGAGTATTACAAAATATGACATACACAATGGATTCACATGAAAACATAATAAAAATATTGCGGATATTCTCAAATTTCTATGTTTTAAATTTCAAGAGCATATGTTTATTACTTTTTCTTTAATAATATTTTTCTTACCCCTTTCTTTTAGAGCTACAGATTATCATAACGTCAAAAACACACTGCAACGACGTCAACCTACCTATCGATTGCAATATCGGTTAAAAAATCAGTTATATCAAATTGTAATTACATTTTTATACCTGTAATTTCTTAATTTTGTTTAATTTTAATAATCAAGCGAAAAAAGTTGCATTAAAACAATTAATACGCTTCATTTTACTATGATGCACGAAATATTGCGCAATGGAAACTATAGTCGGCCCCCTTAATTTTTTCCAGTCATTTCTTTAATATTTGAGCTATAGTATAAAATAGGTAATCAGAGATTACAGAGCTCACCTCAACGTGTGTCTTTAAGTAAGGCAAATTAAGTCACACAATTAACCAACAAAAAGTGTACATCCAAAAATGCAAAATTTATGCAAATTTGAATAGACCTATATAAAAACTAAAAACTAGTTCTTCATCTCATCATTTTGCAACTGGTTTATATAAGAGTTTCTTGGTGATAGACTTGCACCCATAAGAGTCTATTATCTGGAAAATGCAGAATCTGAAGCAAGTCATTAGTGTTGGCAAATGCAAGTTTGGTCAACAAGGGCTTAAAAGATTGTATAAAAAAATTAACCTTTACATCCTATAAAAATGAACCATCCAGACTTTGTGAAATGAATCCTCTGACATAAACTTTAACCTGCACACATCATGCATCCTAATGTACCATCCATGCAATTTAGTCATTATAGGGTTCATAGTACACTCTACCTTGGAAATGAAACCTGCATCCAAAATTTTAAACTCAACCAGAAAATGAAAGGCATGCAAGTTTGGTCATTATACTCATAGTCTTGGAAATGAAACCTGCACCAAAAACTTTAAAATAAGTTGATGAAACTTTCACCAAAAACTTTAACCTGTTCACTCAAGGAATTTCTAAGATGTACCTTGTTTTCAAAGTCAGCTTTACATGGAGACAAAAATTCTATGATACATGTAATATGCAAGTTTGTCAACGTACAAACACACGGAAAATGTAGGTTACCTATGATCAGCATCCGAAGCAAGGCTGGTAGTATGCATTTAAGATGTTTCATATCCATGTTTATATGTCTCATATAACTTGGAAATGAAACCTGCACCAAAAACTTTAACCTGTTCATACAACCAGAAAATGTAGGTCAGATTCAGCATCCGAAGCAAGTCTAGTAGAATACATCTTAAGATGTACCATCCATGCAAGTTTGGTCATTATAGGGCTCAAAGTATTTTCAAAATGAAACCATCACCAAAAACTTTAAGTCATTAAAATGTAGGTCAGATTCAGCATCCGAAGCAAGGCTGGTAGTATGCATCCTAAGATGTATCATCCATGTAAGTTTGGTCAACATAGGGCTTATAGTTACTCGGAAATGAGACCTACACCAAAAACTGCACCAAAAATGTTAACCTGCACCAAAAACATTAACCTGGTCATTCCTTTGCTGAAATTGCAGCATCTGAAACTTTGACTGGTACAATGAAACACACTAGCAATATCTTCCATGCATGTCTAATCAATATAGGACATAGAAGTACTTTAAAAGAAAACTGCTCCAAAAAACTTAACCTTAACCCGGGACGCCGACACCGACGCCGACGCCGACGCCGAGGGTATCACATAAGCTCCCCCCAACTTCGTTGAGGTGAGCTAAAAATGAAATGTGCAAAGAAAACTCTCATTACGGAGTTCAGAGTGCTAGAAAATTCATTGGCAAATGCTATGTTTGGAAAGGGAAGATTGAATTCAACCTACACTATAAAAAGGCCAGACTTTGTGGACTTGACCAGCACACATCAGCATATAAGTTTTTTAATTGAAAGGCTACTCATAAATAAGTTGATGTTACAGGAATTTCAACCTTGTTTAAAGTCAGCTTTACATGGAGACAAAAATTCTATGATCATTTAATAATGACTTTGTTAACAAACACACTGTATTACCTATGATTGGGTTGTATTTTGACAGACTGTTTCATATCAGTTGTTAGACCTGTGTACTTATACTAACACAGAGGGCTCACTTATGGCAGGTGTGACCAGTTAAAAGGTTATGCTTACTTCTTGGCACTTAATCCCACCTCTGGAATAACTTGACTTCCATCCATGGAAATTGTCCAGCCCAGTGTTTTATATTCCACCTTTTAGATATTTTTGAATTCGCTCCTTAATTTCAAACAGGCACACAAATGTGCAAGTTTTGGTTGCATTTTGAAATAATTTTAGTTTTAAATGTCTTGATTGAATAAAAGATTAAGTGTATATCGTATAACATAAAGTTGCCACAATGACATACATGTACGTCCAAAATGTATTGCTCCTCTCAATGTTACTTTTAAAATATGCCCAATTTGAAGCCATTTTTGGAGGAAAAATTGTCTTATTGTCTACACTGAAATTAAATTATATGGAAAGTAGCTGTAATTTAACCTATGATTTACCTATAACATAACTCAGTTTATGCTTTTTGGTTGTAAAGGCCAAAATCTAAAATGTCAACGTTCTTTCACCCTCTATTTTTTCCTGATGCAGCGGACACATATTCTTAACTTCAGATAACAGACAATTTGACTTGAGTCCGTTTCATGATTCAAAGACAAGTTGTCACACAGCTACATGAAAAAACTTCAAATTTACCTACAGAATTCAACGAGAGGCCCATAGGCCACATCGCTCACCTGAGAGGCTTTGACCATTCTGTTCTTTACCAGATTTCCCACTTGTTATACACATTGTGACAACATCCTACACCACTGATCATAATTTAGACAATTTCAAATCTACACTACCATAGGATGCTTTGATTCCCCATTGTAAAACTTTGATTCCCCATTGTGGCCCTGACCAACTACCGGGGGTAATGATTTTAACAATTCAGAATCTACACTACCCCAGGATGCTTCCACTTAAGTTTCAGCTTTTCTGGCCCAGTGGTTCTTGAGTAGAAGATTTTCAAAGATTTTTCCCATATATTTCTATGTTAGACTTTGATTCCCCATTGTGGCCCCGCCCTACCCCAGGGGTCATGATTTTAACAATTTAGAATCTACACTATCCCAGGATGCTTTCTCATAAGTTTTAGCTTTTCTGGCCCAGTGGTTCTTGAGTAGAAGATTTCCAAAGATGTTTCCCATGTATTTCTATGTAAAACTTTGATTCCCCATTGTGGCCCGGCCCAACCCACAGGGGTCATGATTTTAACAATTTAGAATCTACACTACCCCAGGATGCTTCCACTTAAGTTTTAGCTTTTCTGGCCCAGTGGTTCTTAAGTAGAAGATTTTCAAAGATTTTTCCCATGTATTTTTATGTAAAACTTTGATTCCCCATTGTGGCCCGGCCCAACCCCCAGGGGTCATGGTTTTAACAATTTAGAATCTACACTACCCCAGGATGCTTCCACATAAGTTTCAGCTTTTCTGGCCCAGTGGTTCTTGAGAAGAAGATTTTCAAAGATTTTTCCTATATATTTCTATGTAAAACTTTGATTCCCCATTGTGGCCCCGCCCAACCCCCAGGGGTCATGATTTTAACAATTTAGAATCTGCACTACCCCAGGATGCTTTCACATAAGTTTCAGCTTTTCTGACCCAGTGGTTCTTGAAAAGAAGTTTTTTTAATGACCCCACCCTATTTTTGTCTTTTCTTGATTATCTCCCCTTATGAAGGGACTTGACCCTTCATTTCAACAATTTAAATTCCCCTTCACCCAAGGATGCTTTGTACCAAGTTTGGTCAAAATTGGCCCAGTGGTTCTTAAGAAGACGTCGAAAATGTGAAAAGTTTACAGACGGACAGACAGCTGGACAGCTAGATGGACGGATGGACGACGGACAAAATGTGATCAGAAAAGCTCACTTGAGCCTTCGGCTCAGGTGAGCTAAAAATGTTGTAAAAAGAAGCTGCAGGTATTATTTAATCATCCTACTTGTTTTAACATGCCATCAGAAATGCACAATAATATCACAATCATTTTTTTTATTGTTCACATTTTTCATTCACAAAATTAATGCGTGTCATACTAACACTATATACAATATAATGTCATAGCAACTCGTTAAATATACAATAACAGTTTTAGAAACAAATACGATATATATATTATACTTATAATAATTATTTCAAACCACCTTTTTATATAATTCATCTACTTTTAAACAATTCTTTCATCATAAAGCTACACAATATGAATTATTGATATGAATGCTGCCCTTACCATATTTTCAAAAGTTCAGTGATGCAAGAGGCCCTATTGTAATGAGGATTAAAGGGTTCAGTGAGCATGACAGGAAATTGATTAATTCATAAATAAAATATTCCATTTTTCTACCTTCAATATTCATGTCCAACCCTGTTTGTTTCACAAACATTTTTATTATAAAAGGTTCATGGCAACAAGTCCAGAATCAGTGTCAAAAATGAAGTACAAGTTTGAATTTTAAAAAATCTCTTTATATAAGATACATTGTAGCATGTAAAACTTAACACATACACTGAGGTAGTTGGGGGCTAAATAGTTTTTACTGATTATCAAAATGTTTCACTAAGATAAAGTCAACACTGGTAACAAATTCAAATGCCATAGATCAGATATTACTCAAAGAAGAAATATATAACAAGTTTTATAAAATTCTAACTCTTTTACACAAGATTTCACAACAAACTTGCATAATCTAGATCATATACCACCAGTAACTCACAACACATGCTTGTTTAAAGCCAGCATCAGTCTTCATGAATTTATGTTGGTAGAAATATGGCACTGTCAATGTTGGAAGCTTTCACTTTGAGGAGAAAATCACCAATTTTAAATCTCTTGTGAAGATAATGCTTATGCAGATATGCTTTTAAAATTGGTAACTCCATGATTAGTATTTATCAAAAAATACTACATTTGATTCATACATTCCATTATAAATGGATTTATTACTTGGAAAAAACAACATGAATTAATGATAGCCTTTTTTCATATACAATGGGAAAATATGAAATATTTATAAAGTTGATCAAGTTGTTATTGCCTCAGAGGGTACACAAGTTTATTGAGAATTGTTTTACTTTTAGTTCATCCTTGTATTGAGAGCAAACTGCCTTTTAAAAGCATGAGTAATACTGCCATACAACACCGGTACAAACAGTAAACAGCCAATAAAGCTGCTTGGTGACAAGATGTTTAACTCCAAAGGGCAAGTGGAGCAACTTGCATGAAGTGTGGATAGTGCAAAAATGTACAGGATTTGCAGCAAAATTAGTTTAAATATAAAGAAGGCACAATTTTAGCAACTTTTCTTGCAACTCAATAAAAGTTTACAAATTACACTCATGATTGTTTGTTGTATAAATATTTCTGTACATTCTATATTTTTCTCTCCAGGATTTCCTTGGAAGGATGGGAGGGAAAATGTCTACCAAGATACTTTTAAATAATGACCAGAATCATAGTATTTATGATATTGAAATGAGTGTAATGCTCAGATACGTTCACTTTTTAAAAAAGACAACAGGGATAGTAATGCATATAACTGCATAAAAGATTTCGCTTCATTCAATCTTTTTTAGCTACAATTTACATGTGATCTGCATTTTGTTAAGCCATTTGAAAAAAAAAACTAAATTGATGTAATGTTTACTGAGAAGAATTAATGACACTTGAAAATTAAACATTTTTTTTTTTTTTTGCATCTACTTAAATAATTAAAATGTAGTGCACAAACAGGTTTCTGCATAGTATTTGGCTAGTTTCAAATAACAAACAGTTGAAAAAAAATAAGTTTTGATAATAAAATCATACCTTAGTTTTCAACAAGCTCAATTTTTAAATATTTCAATAAATGTCAAAATTAAGAAGAATTGTTCTATAAAGTCATTTCAACTTACATGTATGACAAAAATATGAAAATTCATAAACAATATCACTTCAATGTACATGTATTTATTTACCAGGTTACATTGCTTTGTTTCTTCTTCATTGAGCAGTTTTCTGAAAATATGCACTTTTAAAAAAAATGCATCAGGGATTTCATGTCCACCAGGTTTCTTGAACCTTCTCAATTTGAACCTTCTCAATTTGGAAATGTTAACATTTTCTTTCTGCCTTTTGTGCCACCATACTTCTAACCACTAGCTGTAAGTCACCCTTTTATCTTGCTATGGTGCAAACTTCACTTGAAAAAAGTTTACATTACTTTATATATCTTCACATAAAAACACAACTAATGCCACTTAAATGTCAGAAACTCAAAATCACCTAAAGTGTTTGACATAAAATTCATCAAACAACAAACATATTGCTTTTGCCAGCAACAAACTTTTAATTAAAGCTGCCCTATGTTTTGTCCGAAGTCCATGGATTTTCAAACTGATCTCATATCCATAGAAAATCTAAATCCTCAGAGTGTGATCCTTGACTGTACACGATCGCTAACTTCTGAGGAGGATCAGAGAATACTGAACGTTGATCAAACTTTGTCTCTGAGCACAGAGTTGGCCTCTGTGTGGACAATCAGGTGTCTGTTGATTTGTCTGTTTTGAGGACTGCCTCTGTGGCATGTTCAGGCATGCGTGACGGGTCAGACAGAATACACGTTGTTGTGCTCAGTTGACGTAACGCATTCAACACAGCTGTATTAGAAAAATTTATCATAATAACAACACAAGCTAATTTTGGAAAAGTTAATCTAAATATTACTTTCAAATTCCTTTAACAGGAAGAGTTCTTCACTTCCTGACATTTTTAAAACTTAATTATTTCATTTTATAAATATGTTTAACATGTGAACAGTGTTAGTCCTTACCAGGCCTAAGAACCACTAGTGAGCAATGCTGATCCAGCCATGCTAAGGTGGTCCTACACAGTTCGTCCACACTGGCTGTAGACACCATGTTGTTGTACGTATCAAACAGACCCTGTATGATGGTGGAAAACTAGCCCAATGTCAAGAAAATATTTCTCATCATTATAAACAGCCCCCTCTTGTAACTTCAAACACATGAACCCTTATGAACAAGGTTAGTAAATCTTGCTTTTATCCATTGGCAATACAAGAACTTTTTCCCCTTTCTAAATCCCTTAAATTCAAATTTCAAAGATTTTGAATGCTTTTGAGAGGATACAATCCAGAACTTCCAGTTAGTGAGAGTTCTATTTTTGACGTATTCCTGGAACATCTCCTTCATCTGGTCCACCCTCTGTCTGGTGACTGGTACCCCTGTAGCTGGGAGCTGGGCCTGGCATTGGCTGTAATCAAAGGTCAAAGGTCAGGACAGTTTGTGACTTTGAAGAAACTTTTTTTTGAAACATTGATTCAATGTATATTTAAACAAACCTTATTTGAACATTAAGAGATTCTATTTCTTGACGAAGGATCTCTGCCTCATTTTGCATCTGTGCTCGTTCTGCTTTCAACTTCTTACAATATTCAGCAGCTATAAAACAAAAGCCAGCTTGGTAAAAAACTTTTATTACTATGACAGGTACAAAATATATGTTTTCGCTCAACCTCAAAGGGAGATGTGACAGAAACCAGATATATACAAAACTTACTTTTTTGAAGCATAGCTGCCTTGCTTACTTTGGCATTGGGATTCTGACTAAGGGTTGGGATCAGTGTGTGAAGTAGGTCGAAACCACTCTGAAAGAATGGGAACATTAAATGAAACTGACCAATCCTTGTAAAAAATATTTTTAAATGCAGACTTTTTCCCCCTACTCTCATTGCTTCCTTGATGTCAACAAATACATTTTGAGATTTCTTTCTGAATTTTTGTAATAAAAATTTTATTTTGTGGACATAAGGATAGTTTTAATACCTTGATGTTACACCTCCTCTTCTGCTCAGCTGACGTATGATTTAGTCGCCTGTGTTCTCCTCCTCTGAATTCTGCATCAGAGTCCTGTATTTGATATGCATGTATAAGCAATAAATATATACTGTTGAACTTGACTAATGTCTTAAAATGGTATTATAATATTTTTCTCAATTTTGAAGCAAACTATAGGAAAAATTTTACTACTGCAAATTTTGTGTATTTTCGATGCTTTTCATTGTGTTCTATTAAACAGAAGGACTCAATAGTACACAGATCTAAGAGTTTTCCTTACCCCTGAATAGTTGCCAGAGGGACTAGTGACTGACAGACTATCAGACGGACTGGTAGGATTAGAAAACACGGTGGTCGTGCTGGAGGGAGGGTAGCTGGCCCGCCGAGGAGATAGGGTCTCAGACAGGTGAGAAGTCAGGGGGGTCACAGGTGGCTTGGTGGGGGCCAACGCTGGCACATTGCTAATTTTAGAAACTGTTGTTGATGTATTCGTGGATAATTTTACTGAAAAAAAAGAAAAAGAGCCTTTTCAGTGAAAAATACTGCAATACATGTAATATAACAAAAATTGCATGTGAACATAGTGCTTTATTTTACCTGGATTCGAAACAAAGTTTATCACTGTGTCTTTGGTAGCTTCAACACCGGGACTCTGTGTTTGTAAAAGTATGCTTGCATCTGTTAGCTAAAAAGATAAAAATAAGAAACTCTGTATTAAATACTGGTATAACATTCAACACATGTATCTAAACATTTGTAGTATGCATATGTCTTCCTGGTTTAAAAACAATAAAACTTGCTGGAGTTGTTCAAGATCAGTTCACATCAATTCCTCGTGTTACTTGTTCAGCATAAATACTATAAACATGTACCCGGTACTCAAAATCAAAAAGGAATATCAAATGAATGCTACAAAAAGAAGTAATTTTTTAAACAATACTAAATGAAAAATTATTTAAAAAAAAAATTAAATGAAGTATCTTTTATTTACTCAATACTGAAAGTCTGAGGTGCATAAAAGGTGAGATTTAATGTCCCCTCACTTCTGCGAAATCCTGGTCTCTTTTGAGCATATAATAAATATATATGCAGTAACTTTCAACACCTTTTATTGTAAGTTACCTTATATGGAATAGAAGAGACAACAAGAGGTGTGGGAGTGGGTTGTTGCCCTTGAATTGTCACCAGACTAGGAGTTGCCACCCCTCCTGCCTCCTTCTTCACATTGATTATAGCCCCTGGGTAGGTCCCTGATTAAAAAAGAAACAATAAATGAGAATAGTTTCAAGTAAGAATACCTACAATATACATAGTAGTATTAACATTGCCTTAATTGTGGGTATCATACTATGTGTCAACATCAGTATGATCTGCTGTATAACACACAAGGAATATGTCTACTAAATAGTAAAGATATGGTATAACACTTCTCAATATACAATTGCAAAATATTAACATTTATATATGGTATTATATATTTATTGTTAGAGAGTTTTCTCTCCTCTGCTATATAAATCCAATAAATTTGCTCTGTTTCAAAGCTTTAATAAAGCTGTACTGATTAAATGTTTGTTGCAGATCACAAATTACTACGCTCCGACATAAAATTTATAAATGACCAATAAAATATCAAAGAGAAGCTAAGTTATTAAACATTCAATAAATACATTGTCATCATGAATTTATTTTTCTCCAAAAAATCGAAGGATTTATCTTTTTATTTCCTTGAGTTCTATGTTATTTTGTACAAAAAATTTGGGACAAAAAATTTAATATCATAATGCAATATCTATACATTAAGAAAGTAAATGCAGACTCTTTCTCTTTATAGAGCATGTTTACCAATGTAACCATCCAGACCAATTCATTTTTTTCTTAAATACATCAGGTTCAAATCAATATACATGTATGTTGATATACAATGAATTATTTAAGAAACGTTCCTTAAATAGCCTAAATGTCTTTAGTACCATATGTTAAGAACAATGAGCATGAAGATGGGGTATGTAGTAAGATTCACATGCAGGTTTGTGAAAAAGCTTTTTTTAACAGGAGATCAGTAAGATTTTTAGTACAAAATATCCCAAATTTATCCCTCGAAATCACGCTTTGAAATATCTGTGCATTAAATTTGATGACAAGCTATGAAATGAAATTCAGTAATTACAGGGGATAAACAGGTTATAAAATGTTCACTGTTAGTACAAGTTGGTCATGTTTACAAAAGAATACTTGGTAAACAGTGATACCTGGCATATCAAAAACTCTTACCAATGGATAAATTACATATATTTGTATTACAAAATACAATACATGCATCTTTTAAATTTGAAATTTATATTTTAAAAAATCCTATGACAGATACTGATACTAGATGTTACTAAGCATATCTGCAGATAAAATTAACATTTTTTAAATTTATAATTAAAAACAAGAACTTAGTAAAATCAATACTGGATTGAATGCAAACAAAATATATCCATACAAGAAAAATATTTATGAATAAAGCTCTCTTGAAATTAAATATCTTTCAAAAAATAAAGTCATAATTTATGCATGCATGTGCAAAATCACTCTTACCAATTACGTATATTTTTTTGTGTTTTAGTAAACTTTATCTGCATACTAAACATATAACCTATTATGTATGCTGAACTTGGGATAATTGCATTCCTTTGAGGATCATGTCTATTATGGAATTATAATAAACATAGCAAGGAATAGGGTCAGCAGTATATTTTCTGACAAAATAGAAGTACCTACTAATCTTTAAAAAATTCAGAATACCAACAAACTTTCAGGGCCTGGGAATTTATCAGGCATATATTACCTTAACAATCATGATTAGATCATCACCCGAACATGAAACATGATGATGAAATAGCATGAAGGAATTAGGAGGTCAAGGTCAAATCAACAGTGGTTAAGTAAGAATATTCCAATGTTTTATGTGACAATGCAGTGTCTTTTTATACATTAGGGAAAATAAATATCTCTGTGGTCATGTGATTGATAGATGACTGTCTGATTTCCAGTCAAAACAAAAGGGGGATTAGATACTGGTATTATAAAGTAAATAATCTGATAACCAGGAGAAGATTAATGTCATCAAAATCAAATGGAAAATTTTCCAGTTACTGCAATTCTAAAATTCCTCACTTTACTTAAAGATAATTTTGGAATGTTGTGACACTCGAAATAATGCCAATGAAAATCTTAATTTAATAATTACCGGGTAGTAATATTTTGACTATTATTAAACAAAATACAAATTTTAAAAAAAAATTTGTTGTAGTATAAGCTGCTGTTATTCTTTTTTAATCTTGGTTTTGTGTTTCTTGTAATGAAACCAAAACAAAACTTCCATTTAATTCTCAAATACAGATAGTTACTATAAACATATTATCTTAATTAACAAAAAAGATTCCGAGTGAAAAACTGAATTTAATTGTCAAAAATATGAATATTTCCCTTGATATAAAATGTTCAGTGCATATGCAAGTTCATCATGACCAAACTGAGTTATAATGCATCCTTTTCCAAAAAATGCATTAAATGACAAAATTCACTACTGTTTACAATTTGAATTTTTTTTAGCATTTGGAATATAATAACAGGGGGTAGGAGGTTAAGAAATGTCTGATCCATAACCATGCCATACTTTATAAATTCTAATTCAATGAAATCTTTATCCGATAAGTTTTATGTATATATTTGTATTTCTGTCCTCAGGTAGCTGAGAAAAGCTCCTCAAAAAAGCATAAGAAGTTGTGATAGCAGGGATTATAGTTAACTTCATAGCTTCAAATCTGTAAAAAATGGGATAGTAGTCCACACTCATTTTTTTCAAACCAAGGGAGCTACAGATCTGCAGATACAGTGTACTAACTTCCAATATGTCATTCCAAGACAACTGATCTAAAAGGCACTTGTTTTTTTTTAAACATTTACCGGGTAATATTCATGTCGTTGATGTCCGTACTCAAGTTTATAGTAAAGCAAAGATGTTTTCTTTGAACGCCTTCCTTTTCCTTTTTTTTTTTTTAATAATTTAGTCATCCAAATTATCTTGCTTACATACATGTATTAGTTACAATAATTCTACAGTATATGTATAAAATTCCTTGACCCAGACAAAAGTGACAAAAGATTCTGAAACATGATTCATATTCTAAAGAGTATAAACACATTATCACAAAGAAGATGGCTCATATAATCTTCTAATGTACTTGAATGCAAAAAGGGCCAAAAATCAAGCAATGCATACTCAAATCATGGCATATGTTTGATATTACATCTATCTAAAAGTTTCATTATTTTCATTTGGAAAAAGTCTTTTCCCTATACAAAAAAAATAAAATAAATAAAATTACATTCCATTCAGCAAGATTGAAATGTGACCATTAATCTACTGAATATTGATATGTGAAAAATTGTAATTTATAACACAGATTGCAAAAGAAGGGAGGAAACTAAAGTTATAACATGGAGTCCAGTTTTATGCAATGTATGAATTTCTGACCCTTATTTTTTATTTTTTTTAGTCTTTTGACCTAAAATCAATTGGGGTCCAATAACAGTGAGATTCTTCAACTACACAGCAAAAGCTCAATTAGGACTAAATTAATTCAGTGAAAACAGGCTAATGGCAAAGTGTTAAGAGTGAACATACAAAATTTCATTACAAAAATTGTAGACTTTTTAAGAGATCATCTGAATTGAAAGTATACAGCTACAGAGAATGATGGACAGAGACCCAAATTAAAACCCACATCGAGGGTACAAAATTGAATTGTCCACAATTAACAGGCAAATAAAGGACCAAAATGATATTACAGTGCTTAAAATGAGTATTTATTGTAGAAAGCAATAAATATTAAATAACCGAGGCAGAACAAGATTAACAGCATGAACATACAGTACATTATTTTGTTCATACATGTTTATCATTATCTAGGGAAACATAAACATATCTGTTTGTTCTCATTATTTGTTAATCTTAAAAACAAGTTGTGTGTGAGGGGGAGACAACTCCTTGTTGTGTAACAACACTTTCGTACTCCTAAATTTTTGACATGCTTGGCTATTACTACATTCAAGCTATTCGATTCAGGTCTATTCAGGAAGATAAACATGTAGCTCTCCAGGATTAAACCAGAGGAACTTTGGAACACACCACAATGATACACACACAGACATACACAGAAATGACAGAGAAAACAATAATTAAATAACTAACCTGTGGTAAGAAGCTGGGCTAAGTATGTGTTGTTTGTAGAAGGGGCTGGAGTGGGAGCAATCATTCTTTGCTTTGGTCGAGTTGCAGGTTTGTTCTGAAAATACAAACATAGATATTGAATGTCCATCATCACAGAGTGCAAAAATCATGATTTTCAAAGTTTGCTTCATCTAAAAAATTAGGAAAAATTAATAGCTTTTATATTGTGAGAAGGAAATAGGAAAACTGAGATGATGCAAATCTCAAAGAATCCTATTCTATGTGAAAAACAAGAAACATTAGTAAAGCATGAATCTTCCATTTCTTTACTTTAAACATGGATTATCTTCTTGTCAAAGCTAAAGTCTTTGTGAAGTCTGATGTCTATTTATAAATGGGTTCCAAAAATACTGTAAATGTGGAAATGTTGACGAGGTGCTAAACAAAATTTTAACTTTTTCCTTTTATAATGATCAAAGTCACTGTTAATTTCTTTTGTAAAAGAAATGGTCGATATGAAATATTGACATATGCTTCATAAATATTAAGTAAAAAGATTTTTAAAATATTGGTTGGACAACATATGATGGGAAAATATCAGATAACTAAGTCATTTCTAACCCTCTTATCTGAAAACTAAACTTACTGGCTTTACGAAATTGCCCTCCTTTTTCTGTGTTGATTTCTTGGCCACCTGTGGTGCACTTTTACTCTTCGCAGGGGGTCTTGATGGCTGTGTTGCAGGACTCTTTGTAGCCTGATTTTTCAACAATGGATTTTTACCAAGTAAAGCCACCTCCAATGAGGAAATCTTGGGGATTGTGGGCTCTGAAGGTGAGTGTGATACAGTAGGTACAGTGGTCACATTGTTTATTGAAGTGTCCTCATTATTTTGGGGCAAGAAAAAAACAGTGTTTGATGTGTTTTGTTGTGTTTGAGCACCAGACTGCTGCTGTTGTTGCTGCTGCAGTTTTATTAAGAGTTGACTTTCTGGACTGTTCACATCAGTAAAGGATGCACTATTAATACTTCCCAGGAGGCCACTTAAGAGGTCTCCTAAAGTCTTGTTTCCAGGGGACTGAGGCTGTAGGTCAATTCCTGGGGACTGAGTCTGAACTTGTCTCGTGTCTAGGTTCTGAAATTGAAAACAATGAAAAAATATTAATTGAAAATAATGAAATAAATAAGTTGAAAAACAAAATTAAGTGAAAAGAAAATAATTCGTAATTGTATGTGTATTTTTTTCCATGTCTTGGAATTGGGTAATTATTAAACTTCTATCAGTTTTTTTTCTACTTTTGTTATGATACTTCACATTAGAATTTGATGTGGTGGTATCCATGCTCTGATTTCCAGTGAAGTACATCACATTATTACCCTGTGAGCGAGTGGTCACAATATCTGAAAGATTGAATAAAACACAGTTGATATGGATATGACCAACAGAACCATTAAATTCTTTGGCAGTCCAATTTTCATGGATAACTTTACCTAATATCATTTGTAACCTATAAGAATGTTGATATTCAAACCTTTTCATTAATAATTAGAAATATATTTATAATATATTTCTACATGCATGAACCAATACATTTTCAGCAATTTACAAAATTAATAAAATAATTTTAGGATACAAGAAACCATCTATGTTAAATATATATTCATATACATGTACCTTGAATTGGATCATAGTCCATCAAATCATCCAAATTTGGTTGCAGGGGAACTAACCCTGGCTGCATCAGATCAGCAGTTGACATTCCATCTAAAATCAAAGCATTGACTTCACTGTAAAACTCACAATGTTATTTCACTCATTCATATAAAGCCTAGATTTAACACCTCACCTTATAACTTGAGAAGTGCAATTAACGTATGAAACTGAAATTTTTTTAAAACTTCTAGTATAAGTAATTTTTCTTTTTATCAAGCATAACATCAATGGTTCCACTTATCAATAACTGTTACATAAATGAAGTAATCCAGAGTTATCTTTCTTGTCAAAATTGCTTCAGGAAAGCTGCTTACAAAATTCTTTTGGGTTGGGAAATGCGAAAGGATGATTCAGATTATTAAACAGAGAATCGCTGCTGAAGTCGATATCCATGAAGTCGGTGGAGTTGAGCAGTAGGTCAGTGGCGGACATCTGCTGGTTATTGGGGATGGTCAGCACCTCCCCCACACGGGACAGCAACTCCGTGTTAGAGGCTCTCTGGAAAGTGATTTTTATAGTGTGTCTATCAATCACATCAGAAATGTTCTGTATCAAAAAACTAAACTGACAATGGATGGAAGCAAGTGTTTGTTAAGTGAAATTGTAATAAGGATGTTCTGTAGCTTGGACGCCTTACATTCTAAACCAAGTCAACATTGATTCTATAAAAATAGGATAGTAGAAAAAGCCACTTTCTGCATTAACAGAATTGGTATAAGACTGCCCTTCCTACTAAATATTTACATGGTTGTATATTTAATCAGAAAATACAATCAACTTTAGAACTTAGTAGGAAGGGACAATAAGACAATAAAGTAGGTCAGAACCAGATTTCAGAAAATAAAAGCTTTCAATGAAATTACTTTAAAAGCTCTCATTTGAGATAAAATGTAAGAAAATAATTTATCAGTAGGTTATTGTTACAAACCATGGGTTTTAATGTGCACCCAATTCTTAAAACAAGGTTTACAGGTTGAATACAGATAAAAACCAATTGCTTAAGGAATTCAAATATCAAAGAAAATTATTTTTTTACATTTACATTAAAAGCAGAAACTAAACGTGTTCTTGCATCATGACATTTAGACAGAAAGGAATTAGATTTAAAATTAGCACATTGATTCAGTGTTCAGGAATCATGATGCTGTAATTAACACCCTGCTGATTTTGTTAAATGCCTCACCATATCGCTGCTGAAGTTCTTGGCAAGCTGACTCTTAGAGAACTTCCTCCAGCTTTTGTATTCCTTGGTAACAGTATCCAGTCTTCTTTTCCAATACTTCCCTTCCAGCACAATTGCCTAAATCAAAAAGCTTTCTTTCTTAGCATCTTTCTCATATTTAGTTTATACGATATAATTTGTTTCAAATAAAATTTCTTTACCAAAAAAAATTTCACCAAACAACTAACTTGAAACATAATTCTCAGTTTATAATTTCATGATTTGTGTTGTTGAACTATGCAATTGTATCATTCTATTTGTTCTTCTATCCCTTTCCTTATAATGTTCCCATTAACACAAACATTTTTCATTTCACATCCAGACTCTTATTTTAATCTCCAAATATTCTTAGTATTCATTGGTTATTGGATTCCCTTTGGTAAATGTTCATAGAAAATCAAATGACTGAGTTTAAGTTCTGACTTCACTAAACAATCCAGCATTACATATTGCCAAAATGTGACGTTTATAAAATATTTTCAATATCAGTTACAATGACTTTGTTTATGTCACGTCTATTGTTGTAACCTTAGACCCTATGACCCAAACAGAAACTTCGAACAAGATTTTTTTTTAAAAAACCTACTTTGTGTTTAACAAGAATGTTCAAGTACAATTTTTCTCAGAAAAAAGAGAAGAAAACACTGGGACATCATTACCCCCTCCCCTTCCTTTACTTCTCAAATCTCAACAATGTTGTATTATTTCAGTTTTAGTTACTTTATTTACTCTGTAAAGTACAGAATATAAGCTACCTCGGGCTTGGTATGTATGTCATCTGATAAAGGAGAAGCAAACTGGCAAACGGTTGGCTTTTTCCCATAGATATCTAAAAAAAGAAAAAGCATGTTTCCTTAACATAATTTTGATGAACCATAACATGCAACTCAAGCTAATATATAACACCACAGTGTTAAGATGCAAGGAGCAACTACCTGTGATGAACAGTTTCCCCACAGCTGTTAATCACTTTATATACTCAGAAAAATTTGTTGCACAGCAGCTATAAATCAAGATTCTGGATGTTTACAGAGGATTTTCAGAAAATATGAGGATAAACATTTATATTGACATTGTTTTTCAATTAATTTTCCATTTTCTTTTTGCATGAAAAGAAGATATAACTTGATTGCTTGTCATATTTATTGGTTAACTATGGTCCACATCATTATACCATATTAACAGGTGATATTTTTTACATAAATATGCTATAAATGTATCCTGTTCCTCATAGATATTTTTAAAATTTCTATACATTTCATCAAGTCTAGATTCCAGTCTAAACAATGCTTGACTGAAGCTGTATTGCTCAGACAGTTTTCTATTCTAAGGTTCAATGCTTGCTCCCCTGCCGTTTTTAAAATTCTAAACATTTACATTGACTTGCACTTCTGCACAATGATAAAGCAGTAGCATTAGTTTGTTACCTTAATACTATAGAGCACCTAGGGCTGCATAGACAAAGTCAGTTGTGAGCTATTGTCACAATTTGAGAATTAATCAGTTACTATGTTCATCTACATTGAGAGAGTCATCAAATGATTATTATTTCATAGCTTTCAATAAGGGGATGAATGAGGTGACTTTTTCAGCATTTCAATGATCAGAATTCATGACTAGAATTCACCTCTTCCAATTTCAAACTGAATGTTAGTGTATTGTAACTTCATTCATGCTCACAGCAAATCCTGCCCAAATAATCATCAAATTGAAGGATTGTTGCAAGATCAAAGAGAGCATACTAATTATTGTGGTTTATGGTATCTGTAGATATTACTTTATTCCTATTACTTCAATCTGCATAAATCTTTAGCATATGCTGGCGAGAAAAAAATGAACTGCAGAAACAAATAATACTTAACTAAATGTGTAAAGTTCATATAACTATATACCCCCCAATACACCTTTAAGCAATAAATTCTAAATAAAGTAAAAATATTAAATTTTATTTTTAACACAAAATCAAACAAGGAGAATGGCAGACGTGACAAAGATGAGGTCAATATATTTACATTGCATGCACCATTCCCTCCAAATGATGTTGTTGAGTCGTACTTTGTCCTTCACAGTAAGATGTAGCCCTCTGAATGCTTTCCATTTCGGTGAGGTCAGCTTTCCACTACAATAGACATACAGTACATGTATCATTCAACTGAGTCAACCTCAAGTCATTAAAAAGTAGGTTTCATCTGCTTTAAACAAAATCTTGCAGATTTTGATGTGCAAGTCTAAATATTATTATTTAATTCTTTGTAGCATGAACCAAAGATTTGGTTTCCAGAATCTAAAGGGCAGTATGTTTACGAAAATATATACTATAAAGTATAAATATTTTTTTCATGCACTGGTACATGTTATCCGTGGTACTATTCATCACTACATCAATGTCTTGGGTGACCCAGACAAAATGCTGAAACTTAAACAAACAATCAAAAGATTTCCACACTTTAGTTTTAATACCCAGACACAGCTACCAAATTTACAACAAACTTTAAAGGGGCAAAACTTTACCATTTTTTAAAACTATTTTCAGTACCGTCATTTTTTGTCTCCAGCTGAAAGTGAGAGGATTAATTTCTGTCTGTCATTCTGTCCATCCATCTGTCTGTAATCTGTATTTCTTTCTGTAAGAGTCTGTAACACTTGCGATTCCATGTGATATCTCTAGATGCTTTTTAACTTTTGCAATGAAATTTTATAGCACAACTCCCAACAGCCTAAGGAAGACCCCTATTGACCTTGAGGTCAAAAGGTCAAAGGCCAGGGTAATAAATTGTCTGTTTTAACACTTTCCAAGTCTGTGTGATATCTCGAGAAGCCTTTGGACTTTTGCAGTGAAATACACAACTCCCTATGGCCTAAAAATGACCCCTATTGATTTTGATTCAAAAGGTCAAAGGTCAAGGTCATAAATCTATATACAATTTCAAGACACTGTCCTTGATTTGAAAACATCTCTATATTTTACTCATTCCTCATGTTTTTCCTGTTACAAACATTAATTAGATGGATAGACAGCTTGATTCTGGTTTACTCATCATCTCTTAAGAATTTCCACCTCAGCAGGCAATAAACAAAAGGCCCCTTCACACAAACATTAACCATTATACTTGTGCTTTTCCATGCACCAACAAAGGAACCTCATATACTTTAGACTTGACACACTAAGCCAAAAATCCAAGACAATATTTCAGCTAAATTCATATACCTATCTACAGATCAAGGGTGCTTGAAAAATTGCAGCCCTATTGTTTTGGTAGAACATTTCACTATTTTCTATATGATTGTCTCCCTCTGGACTAAATAGGTCCACCAAAGATGTACTAATTCTCTTAAAAAATACTTGTTTCAGTCATTTTACTGTTTTTCAATATATATGACAAATTGAAAAAAAATTGTCATAAAGATGTAAACAAGTGCCAGCCTGTTTATAAATCACATTAACACTCAATTTCATTCTGTCAATAATAATGCATTTGTGTGCTAAAAATTGCCTTTAATTTGTAAATTGGACAGAGTCAGTGAAAGATTTTGGTCAAAGAAAAATTACATGCGATATTCTGTTGCTTAATGCAATATTCAACATTTATAATGATATGGAAGCACATGCTAGGGAAAAGAAAAATTTAGGGGTCACAATCTTCATTTGACAGCAATTTTCATGATCAACATATATAATTTCCATAGACTTATACCCCATTCACACAAAAATAAGCATTAAATTTCAAATGATGAACGCCTGGAGGGGGGGGAGCGCTGTGGCCCCTGGGCCTCTTGTTTTAACTATTTTATACCGTCATTTTTTGTCTCCAGCTGAAAGTGAGAGGATTAATTTCGGTCACTCATAACAGATTAATGCAATATAAATTTAAAATATGAATAAAACTAATGCAAATTAAAATGCATATGACAGTTAATATACAATTATGGACTTCAATGTAGGTCAATATGTGGTTATAAGGACTCATGGTAATTGATATTGACCGAAGACACAGAAAGTGATAGCGACCGAGCCTGTGAGGTATCTATCATTTTCTGTGTCTGAGGTCAATATCAATATTGCCACGAGTCCTTATAACCACATATTGACTGTTCACCAAGGTCCATAATAGTTATATTATATAATCACTCAAAGTGAATGCACTGACACAGTCGTAACTGAACAGATTTGGCTGTCATTAAATCACAATGGTTAAAACACGCTTCTTATATTATGACGTCACATTCTACGCAACTTTGGTTCAACCGAACAGTGTGTCGTGGGATATCATTTTCCGTGTCAACATCACAAAAGGATTAATATCATGTGATGTTCTTTCAGCCAATGAAAACTACGAAAATAATCTTCTTATATAATATTTCAAATTAGGGAATAACTATGAGTTTTACGGGCGATCCATCACAATGCATGGAGATTGTAATTAAAGTGCACATTCCAAACCATGTGCAGATCGATGTGTTCATCTTACAAACACATGCCAGGATCGGGGGAGGGGTCAATGGTTCAGGAATTTGCAGAGTAATTAAATGTATTATACTAAACCAAAAGTGACTTTAGACCCCTAGAAAACGTGGACCTTCCCTCGAAAACGCAGATCGGCATTAAATTGGTATGAAATGAGATTGTAATTAAAGTGCACATTCCAAACCATGTGCAGATCGATGTGTTCATCTTACAAACACATGCCAGGATCGGGGGAGGGGTCAATGGTTCAGGAATTTGCAGAGTAATTAAATGTATTATACTAAACCAAAAGTGACTTTAGACCCCTAGAAAACATGGACCTTCCCTCGAAAACGCAGATCGGCATTAAGTTGGTATGAAAAGATAGATACAAAGCTAAACAGAAGTCGACAACTACCCCATCGAAATAGATTCTGAACCTTTTTGAAAGGAGTTTGTTTTATTTTTTGTTTATTTGTTTTTGTATTTTTTTTTTTTGCTTGTAAGTCTTGGTTCATGGATTTTTTGGGGGATGGACCCCCCTGGAAGAAATTCCCGGATCAGCACCTGTACCAGCCTGATAATATCAATAGTGACATTGCAATGATGATTTTAAAAAAGCTTATGCCCTGTTCACACGGAGAGTTCAATTCGCAGTAAATTAATGCGAAGTAAACTAATGCGAATCAAACTAATGCGAATTAAATTGCGTTCACACGACAGCTAATGCGAAGTAAACTAATGCGAATTAAAATTTTACTTCGACAGTCAGGCGTGAGGAAGGTTATTATGACGTCATTTGCAAATCACGTCACCTTATGCAGAAGCAGATGCATTTGACATAATGTCACAGTGTCTGGAGACATATTTTAGTGATTAACACATTTTTCCTTAGTTTTTCACTCAAAAATAGCACAAATACTTAAAGCTGACCACTGACATGACGCATTTGCCTTAATTGTGCCATTACGCATGCCCCAAAATTTAATTCGAATTAGCTTCGCTTATCGTTCACACGGAGCTAATCCGAAGCAATTTAATGCGCAGTAAACTAATGCGAAGTAAAGTAATTCGCATTAAATTCTCCGTGTGAACGCTAAGCGAAGTTAATTCGCAGTAAACTTACGTTTAATTCGAATTAAACTCTCCGTGTGAACAGGGCATTAGTCTAAACTAGTGTCATTTTGTACTTTGGGAATCTATCACATTAGAAAATGGACTTTGAACCTTACAGTCTTTTACAATAAAATATGTTACATAACTCATAAGATAACTCCATATAATTCTTTGGTTTCTCCTGGGCCTTACATCAAAATAAATAAATTATTTAGCAAGAGTTGCTAAAAATGTTCAATATAATCAAAATTTTAAGCACTGAGCATAACTACATTGGGATGATGAAATATGGTACCTGTATGCCAGGGACATGCAGTCAAAAAGTTTGGTGAGAGAATCGTCAATAGACAGTGTTGCATTAGGCCCAAATGGATAAGAATTCGACGGCGTTTTGTTCGCAGAATCGAAATCAAATCCCGTCTCTTCCAACTGTGGCTTGACATCTTCATCGTCATCCTCTTCGTCGTCTTGGTATTTGCCATGCACGTTTGTTATCATGAAATGCCCACTGTGGATAGGTTGCTCGTGTTGTGCAGCCTCGTCCATTTTGCAATAATTAAGTGTGGTCGCCTGAGAAGAAGAAGTCGAGGTTTTCTCTATTGCCATCATATGACAGCGCTCCTGTGTCTGTTTTCATGGAGAAAAATATTCCAGTTATTTTGCGTTTGTCAACAACAGACCATCCGCCATTAAAGATCACGTAAAATATGCGTGATTAACTGCGTCCTTCACCCCTACTTCCGGTTATAGTGAGAGTATGGCAAAATAGAATGGGATCGAGCCACACAGACAATAGGTCAGGGCCACTGATAAGTTTGTTATGGAACAGCACTTGTGTTATAATCATATGATGTATATGTAATCGTGATATTGTGGATGAAACAAACACTACACATGGATGAAACAAAATTGAGCATTAAACATTTGTTAAAATCAAAAGTAATAAATAAAAAAATAGACAAATTATGCTGTATGCATATGAAAAGAAAGATAACTCTTACTAAGTTTCAAGTTATTCCCCTTGATTTCATAAAAAGAACATGATTATCAGTTAATTATTTGTTTATGGAACAAAATTTTCTAATTATGCTCAGAATACAATGTATAAGTATGTGGAAGTAAATAGATCTCTACTTGATACCGATATATTTTACAGAATATTAACTAAACTTCATTGTAACTATTTTGATAATTTTTGATTTACTATTAAGATGCAAGTTCCGAGATTTCTCCCTGGGCAACTGTTTATTTTGTTTTACTCAAGTGATCAAGAAGACCCTTTAGAAAGATTTTGGTCATTACTCTGTTACTTGAAATATTAAAAAAAACTGTTAAAGGACCAGCCCTCCAAATCTTCTAATTGCTACAAAATCTTCCAATCAAAAACTTGACATCCATGTAACGCATAAACTGCTTCCATTAGTTATTATATTCATTTCGAAAATCAATCCACAAATCACATATATATTCATTCTTGTATCAATAAATGCAAACAGCCACTCAATTCCAACATGTAAACTTTCAACCAGGTATATCCTGAATGAGACGCACAACTACAGTACTGTTTCATAAATTTATTCTGTTCATAAAACATTATCAATGCTAGTAACAAAAACAAGTAATACAATGCATTAGACTTATATTACAATTTGTAGATAACTATATATTTACATGCATGAAAATGATGAGATGCATGCAGCAAAACCATAAGATACATGAAAATATGAAATGAAACCGATATACTTCTTTTTACATTTTGGCAATAATTGATTAAAAACAACCCAAGAGAGCAGACAAGCTATCGATCATATACATAAGCTGTAATAAACCCAAAAGTTTTAAATGGACATAACCGTTTTCTCCTGATGATGATGCTGAATCATAAAAATAACACAGAATACTATAAACATGTATTATTGCAGCTAATGAGAATTTAGATCAAAATAATGTATAAAAGTATATAAAACATAAGAAACAATGTTATGTACCTCTCATGTGGTATAACCAGAACAAGCGAACTAAAGACAAAATACAGTAAATGTACTATTTTCCATGGGGCCCCAATTCCCTGGAATCACTTCTGTTAAATCCACTGGCAAAAAATATGCAGATTTCTTGGATTACCATCATATCAGTAGGTCTTCAATATACTTTAAGTATGCTTTAACAAATTTCCATAAGTAAAGTACTGTAACCACCTGCATAAACTGATCCAATGGGGAAAATGTACATCTACTGTATAATACTATCAATAACGAAATGAAAACTTGCTAAAGCTATGCCTATATTAATGTCTTCCCAAAAAAATGAATGGTACAGATTCCAACTCCCCAGAAAATGTGTACATGACATGGATAGAATTTACAAACTTTAACAATTACACACAATTATTAAAATAAAATCTAACATAAAATCTTGTTCTATTATAAATGACATGCCAAAGTCAAATAAGTGATAAAAACCCACTCATTTGACTTGGTTATGTGCAGGTCAAACAATAAATTACTGAACAAACTTTTCAACACATGTAATACAAAATACAAACATCTTAATAAACCATGTCATAGTCTATATATTACCGTATGAGAACAATAACTGAATTAAAGATTCATAATTTTTTTTTTGATTTGATTAAACAGGGTATGAAAATTGAGCAAATATAAATTCTTTATGGTCAAGTTACATGCCTTCATCAAGACTATCACATTAAAGTTATATACATGCCCTCATAAAGATTAAATTTAATTACCCTGTTTGGTAACTTTAAATTTTCTCATGTTAAAAATATATTGGTCCTTTCACATAGATATAAATATATAGCAATTTATATTTTCGATTAACTGAGAAATTTGAATTGAGACTAAAAAAATGGATTCCTGCAATAGAGCATATGGACTTGTTTCTCCTTCAAAATAAGAGTCCCTGAAATTATGTATGGTCCTTTTAAAATACTTGTATATTAAACAACTGATCTGGAATGTTATTCATTAATATCACAGGCTAATAAATTTTGCATAGATATAAACATCTTCCTGACATTTCTCTCACACAAGATTGTATCGATGTTTTAAAGCCTGCCTCTTTCACACTTTACAAAGTATCATAACATATCATTAAATTAAACATACTGTGTCAGTTCTATGCTTACTTATTCAAATGCATTAAATGCATAGATTATTAACAAGGAAATATAAATCAATACCAAATTGCTTTAAAAAAGCAGATTTTGTTTAAATATTTGAAAAAAATACAATAATTTGTGAACTAGTATGAATACTTCCGATACTTGAAACTACACATCTACTACCCATACAGGTAACTAAACATCAGTATCTTTATTCATTACAATAGGACGTCATCACACTCTGCTGAATAATACCAGAAAGTATGCATGTATAATACTGGAAAACAGATTTGAAAGTAATGAGGACATGCCCCTTTTCTTATTGTTAAAGGACAAACCTATAAATTGGTATATATTTCATTATCCAATCAAAATCCAACAATTTATAATTAGGAATGCATATATATTCATGCAGTAAATAGGTTTTTAGTCACAAGGATATTCAAATTTAATATTATAATTATATTCAAATTAAATTTATCTTTAAAAGAAAATGTACAAATATTTTGCACACAATAGTTAAAATAAGTTTAAGATAAAAAAAAAAATACAAATGCTTTTCATGGAAAAACTTAAAGAATTAATTACACCAAGATACAATGAAGTATAACAACATAAGTAATGCCAGACAAATTTTTGTAAATGTCGAACACCTAATTTATTTATAAATGTATATAATGTAGTAATTGGAACAAAACACACCGTTTAGATAAATATGAAAATAGGCACTTGGTACTTAACACTTTAAAAGTCAGTTGCTATGTACAGGTAAATAAAATATGCATTATTTTCCCGAGTTTTTGAGGAACTGAGCCATAATAAATCAGTGGGATAATGTTGAGGAACGAGACAATAAACCCTCAGTGGGAAGTGAACAGTATATTTTACTTGTGAGTGATATTTTATTCCTGTTTATAAAGCAGAAAACAAAAACAAAACTAGAAGTCCCCCAACGCTGTACAGCTCCTCTGGTTTGTAACGTTTAGAAGAAAAGGAGCATTTTGAAAGATGTTTTTAAAAAATTCTAACTCTTATTAACCATAGATTCACCAAAGAAACACTAATACATGTATATGTTTACATCTTATAGTAGTCTTATTGTGATCCAAGTATATTGAAATAAATAAGATACTGGGGAAAAAATAATTTTTGAAAAATATCATAACACCATTCATTGATATCAAAAGCTCAAAACCTGAATGTGACTAGTCCCTGTATACACTGTGCTTATACATTGTAGTCATGTTGAAACTGAACAAAAATATTAAAATCTTGTTTGAAATTTACAGACTTACAGACAGACAGGTGGATAATGGACAGACTACTTCTGGTCTTTGACCAGTACCATAAAACAAGATTTTTACATCAAGTGATTGCACTTAAAAATCTAATTACCATCGAAATCAAATATATAAACCTTGACACATGATAAAGCAATATTGGTAGCTGAATACAGAATCCATTTTGTGTAAGTTTATACACAGATTATTTTGCTGATACATGTTATAGATGAAAAACAATTGATTGCTTTAGTTCCTTGGAAGAACAAAAACTTTAAATCTGACCACGAGAAGAAACCATGGCTAACAATTTACCGTGAATTCTTAATTAATTTTTTGTCAAACATATTATCTTCTTCATCTGAGCTGTAGTCATGGTACTCCTTGTTTATGAACTTCTTTGTCGATCCATTGTCATAATATTCATCAAAATCTTCTTCATCATCATCAAATTTAAGCCGGGAAAATCCTGCTGATTTTTTGGAAGTTCTGGCTTTTACACAGATAATTCCAGTACATAACAACAACAGGACCAATATAGTCAGGGCTGAAATGTAACATGGAATAAATAGTTAATAAACATCAATATGGAAATCTATCTATCAATCTGTATATTTCCACCATTTAAATCTTTAAGTAATAAAACCTTACAGAGAAATTAACAGAGTTTACCCTGGTACATGCAGAAAAGCTTGATTTTTGTGACTAGTAATAAAACATTCATCATGGATACATTTCTGTTAGACACTTTCTTATTCTCATTACTAAACAAAACTGAATGGTGAAGTTCCACTTACAGGTGAAGACAATAAATGCAGTCTGAGAGAACCCCAGTATGGTGTCTGGTGATTCCAGCTGAATCACTGTATTATATCTTCCTTCTTCTGTATTAGGCACCTTAATACTCTGTGTAGATCAAAAGCATGCAGACATACAGAACATCATAAAATTTCAAGTCATCTTAAAATCTTCTCAGTCTGATCATTTATTAAAGGAAATCATACCATCTTCTTGTCTTGGTAGCCATGACACTTGATGATGACTTGATAGCTGCCGGGGGGAAGATAAACATGGAATTTAGCCTCCTCGTTTACTTGGTACGTCCAGCTAAGGCCCTTGACTTGTAATGTGGCATTTATCATTGGTTTTTTATTTTCTTTGTCTACAACAACTCCAGTAAATCCTTTATTAGCCTGAGGAGAAAAAAGTTCAATGCATCTATTTCATCTTTCTGATTTGGTCATGACTGGTAAGCAGAAATTTCCATATAAAGCACTGAAACACTTTCTTTCAAAGCCTTTTAAAAGTATATTAACCTATCTGCTGTACTCATGTATATGTATTACATATGTAATATGGTGTATTACCCACCTCTGTGACCATGTCTAACAGTGGCTCCCTGAGTTTATGCCAAATGTTGAGGAGTTGATCTTCATTGGGGTGATGACAACATCCCGTGGAAATCTCCATAGGAATGGAATGACAGTGTTTATAGGCATATTCCTGTAACAGTCCATATGTCAAGTGAATCATTCAAGATGTATATTATCCATCTTTAAATCAAATAGGTTCTCTCTTTTGGATCTGTATTAGTTGATATACCAATGCCATACTTCATGTTTAACAATTGCATTAAAATTATTGGCTATTTTAAACCTTAAATCTTACCAGAAAACTGCTATTGGAGAAAGTATCACTGCCTAAAATTAAAATAATGGAAAAATTCAAATAAGGTCAATATATTAAAGTAGTGTTTTCTATAAATTAAATCATAAAATTATACAAAACCATAAACATGTATTTCTAATCAAAGTACTCAGAAGTACAGAGAGCCGGGCTCATTTACAGAGTAGAATGGATTTCTTAGATGAATCACGTTTATATTCTGATGAAAAAATTATTTTAAAACTATCAATAAAAATGATAAGACACTGACAGTGAGTTTTTCAATCCTAATACCATTAGGATTTTTGTAAGAATCAGAATTAATCTGGTACCGCAGCTGAATGTAAACAAACAGGCCAGTCTGGTTCCCTCTCCTGCTTTACCTTGTATGTGTAGAGAACTACGGTAACACTGATTATCAAAAATCCTTACGCTAATGAACTATGTTCTTTGACTTATGAAGTTTTCAAAGTCATTACTACTACTGTTTATTTTATATAGATAAAACTTCATTTTATTTTTGTTGCTTTATTTAGCGTTTGTATTATCTCAAAAGCGCTTGAGAGTAAGAACTATATTTTTGCACGCAACTTTAAAATGGCGACTATGGGGTTAACATCCTGCCTTGAACAGGATCACATAAGCCGGCAATAGCTCTTTGAGCAATAAGCACGGCTAAAAAGTAGCAAGTTTCATCTAAGTTATCTCCCATAAACACAATTCTTAGACTTATCATCTTCAAGTTTGGTCTCAAAAGAAATGAAAATTAAAAGTCAGTACTAAAAAGATTTTTTTTGATATAATATACTTTTGCATCAAGTGCAATTAAAAATAACTGTATAAAGAATAGTTTATTGAGAGAAATTTGACAGACACAGATGGATGAAATTTTACAAATGACAATGTTATTTTAAAGTCTTTCATAATGAGTTAAATTAAAAAATTTGCTTTACATTACTGGTATCAAAACATCATACTGGTCAAAATAATAAATTTACCTTTTTGGCAGTCCATCTTTCCAGTTTCCTTTATTGATAAAAGTATATTGGTGAATTTACTGCCAAGATTATCAAATGCTAATTTCTCCTGATGGTTCAGATTCACTAAAAATCCATTAAAAAAAAAATCATCAGTACAGGAAATGACCAGATGACACTGATTTTAAATGTACATATACTCTAACATTACAGACATTAAAGGAGGAGAAATTTCACTGCAATATTATAAAACTTTACCATATGCTGGAGTTCTGACCCCCTGGTATCCACTTCTAAACAAGAATGTCAATGTAGGGTGGACCTTCATCATCCAATCCATCAATACACGGGTCTCTGGTTGTACCTCGCTCTTCCTGTTATCATCAGCTGTAACCATAATTTGTATATAAGTAGTACCATAAATCTGGAAATTTTTACGTCAATTTATTTTTGCGAATTTAGGTCAAAAAGCTGCTAATTTTTATGTTTCAAAATTTTGCGAATTGTCATTAGCGCTAGAAATAAAAAGCACTTAATATTGTAAAATCACTTGTTTAGGTGGGGTCAAATTTACATGTTTTGTGGAAAAAATACTGTCTTGGTATTGTGGTTATATTTTAAAATTAGAGTAGAATCATTAGTGGTAGAGGTAAACTAAAATTTATTAAGCTTCAATATTGTGACTGTACATACTGTGGAAGTCAAAAAGTAGGTTGACATTTTTGGCATTGTTTTGGCCCTTGGTGTCACTGCAGCCATCAGGGGAAGCAACTACGGCTCCGTCTGGGTTAAGGACCGGGAGGACATGAACCATAGATATGTTCACCATCTGTAAATTTGTAGGGATAGAAATAACTGATCAATTCAATGAATCTCCTTTAACTATGATGGCCGATATCAGCCTGTCTAAAATAAAATTACACGACCTATAATTTTGTCTTTTGTACATGTACATTTCTTGAAATTTGTACATGTACAAAATAAAAAAAGTTAATACGGCCTATAATTTTGTCTTTTGTACATGTACATTTCTTGAAATTTGTACATGTACATAATAAAAAAAGTTCTTTCGCGAAAAGACAAAATGTACATGTACAATTCATAAAAGTTGACAAAAAAATCTATAGCGGTATATATAAAAGATTTTGTCACCATAATTACAATTACAAGTACAATTCTTTTATTTAAAATTACAATTAGAAATAAGAATCCGATTCTTACACTTGACTTCTGATACCCCTCAAAAAATAAATCACGTAATATCAACGTAGACCGGAAGACGTGAATATTTGAACAGCGATTAAGAGATGAAGACAGAAAAAATGTGTTTTTATACAAGCAAATAGAGATGGACCATACACACATATATACCAGAAAGTAATATATTTGAATTCCATGCAAATATTAAAAACAAATAATTGATTATGCGATGGGTTCTTAGTTAAGGACCCCATTCTGTATGCGATATATTCGCTACCATAAAATTACCAATGAAACTGAGGTATAAGAATTAATAAAATACTTTTATATTCATAGAGAATTGCAATACAATCCTCCCAGAATAAACTATTGTGTTATTCAACCCAATATGAACTTGAGTGATATGCTTTTGTCCTTGCTAATTTCATAACCTGTGTAACAAATGTGAAAATAGGCTCTTGATGATGGCGGATTTGCAGCTAATCAATATACTATAAAAATCATGAACCTCATATATATCAAACCGCCGAAACACTAGATTAGTGTCAAGTGATTTGAGGTACGTGACTGATGGGAGCCACTTTCTTTGAAAATGTAACAAATAAAAGTTCAGAAACATACTTTAATTGATATTTCCCACGTGTGCATTACGAAGGAACCATTATCTTTTATTTATTGCGTTCAGGTTATCAAACGTCAAGTAGAAGTATGCTAATTATACCGCTATAGATTTTTTTGTCAACTTTTAAGAATTGTACATGTACATTTTGTCTTTTCGCGAAAGAACTTTTTTTTATTATGTACATGTACAAATTTCAAGAAATGTACATGTACAAAAGACAAAATTATAGGTCGTGTAATTTTATTTTAGACAGGCTGATATCGGCCATCGTATTTAACTCATTAACCCTTTGTCCCTTTACTGTCAGTTAGATGCACATAATATGTCAGCACTTGGTTTTTGAATGTAAACAAGAAATATAAAATTTTGCTTTTCACTAAATTGCTGTTAATTTTTTATGATGTATGTCCTTTAACAGTGAACTAAGTGTTTCAGAGTAATGCTGCACATCTGAATCATACCTTTGTTAAAACAGAATCTTTTCCGTACGATTCACACAGCTCACTGGCCAGCTGCACCAAGATCTCTGGCCCAACAGCTTCATTACCATGGATACCAGCCAAAAACAGCATATGTGTTTGGGAGGTATGTGTTTTCGTTTTACTTCCAAAATCCAGCATCCATATATCTTTGTTATTTGAAGATTTTCCAAGGCTGAAACACATAATAAGACTAATAAGTATGGATTTTCTCTTGATTTATGAGAAACAGCCTACTTGTCTTTCTTAAGAAATATGACATCATTTTTATAGTTTCACTGGGATATGAAATAAAATTAGTCATGTGATCAAATCCTAATACCTGGTGGACTCATTTAAAACTTCACTTACACTGAAAAAAAGTTGGTCCCCTGAATTTCAATATTTATATTATATTTACTTGTGGTAACATTTACCTGTGGATATTGACCAGTTCCTGACACTGTCTGGAGACATTCAGGAGGAATTCCTTCATGGCAGCTTCTGTGTGGTACCCCATCTCCTTCAGTTCTGTATTTAGTCGTACCTGTACTGCAGAGGTAGAATCTCTCTGGATAACAGCTTGGTGTGATTGTGGCTCATATCCTAATAATTAAATAATTCAATATTCATGTGTCAATAAGACAAGGATGCCATTGCAAATACTGTGGTTTCATCAATTTTTGTTGCCATCAATTTTCGTGGATTTTGTAAAACAGACAACTTCAAGGATACGTAATTTCGTGGACTAAAGCATTGCCTATACAAATGAATATCATATTTCTCAATTCAATGAACATTGAATTTCATGGATCTGCTCAACAACAAATTCCTCGAAAATTTGTGCTCAACGAATATTGATGAAACCACGATATTGCCAATTTTTTTATGTTCAGATGCGAAACTTTAAATCTGTTCTCATCTTAGTTTATACAATTCTTTGTGCTCTGACACAAAAAATATTTTAAGAAAAACAAATCAGGCCCTTTCAATCCGTTCTCAAAGCAATCTCAATAGAATCATTCATCTCTCCTACACATATTGATAAAATGTACATTTGATCTCAAAGTTAAAACCTTCTCAAGTTGTTGCAAAGAATTTTAAACTCTATTTGTAGAAAAAAAAATTCGCTCTAAAACTTTAAGAGTCAATCCCAAGCCCTTCTGAAATACATGTGATTTCTTATAAACCTTCAAAATTGATTTCAAATCCATAACATATGATCAGGCAACATATGGAGCAAATGCTAAAACCTACATCCTTCCCATACTACTTCTTACAGTAAGAAACCAAACCAGAACAAATGTACAGACATTTTTTTCTCTAAATATACAGACTTGACACTAGGTAACCCTACATGACATCACTGCCCAGTGGACTTTCAGATATCCAGACGCCAGATATCTGGATGCTTCAGTATCCGGATGACTTTTCATTGGAACAGAATTTTTTTAATGTTACATTGTCTTGTTTAATTGGTAATTCAGATATCCGGACGCTTCACATATCTGTACAAATTGAAAAGGAACCAAAGCATCCGGATGAATGAGGCTCAACTGTACTTCATATGTTACTCTTTTTTTTTACCCCACCCATATTTTCAATTGAAGATGCATGAAAATATTTATTCCATTGAATCCTTTGATAAGATTGGTATTTATATCAACAGTACAACTTGAATTCCTCTGGAAAACAGCACTATTGACAAGTTTGTAAGTCTGTTAATACTGTTTAAATGTAGCCTGTGTGTACCTTCAGCTTTGATGTGTATAGTCTGTACCCCCTGTGTAAGGGGAATGTAGAAATGGCCATCATCAGCTGCTGTAAACACTCCAGTCTTACTATCAACTGTTATAGTGGCGTTCTTCACCACTCTACCACTGCTGTCTAAAACTTGTCCAGATACACCTGATAAATACAAAACACAATTGTAACTTTTCTTATTTCATAAAATCGTACAGGTACTTAAAAAGCTTATACATATCAAATGACAAACAAATAGTACAACTAGCTTTCAAACAGAGATAGGGGAAGCTAATGTTTCCTAAGGGACTACAATACATTTACATTATACACATGTACTAATGCATCCTTCAGGGCTTTCAAAAAGATTTGAACCAGGTGGTACTTTATCAAAAATAGGAGGTACCACTCGGCGAACGCGGAAGGCGTGACTTCATATGCCCCCCCGGAAAAATTTTGAAATTTAGAAGCCACCAGACAGCATTTCCTGGTTTCTAGACACATAGAAGTATGCTGTTATCAGTGTTATTTTTATGCCATGTTTCCAAGTTTATTTTTGGTCAATACACTTTACATGTGAAATTTAGCACTGGATGGGTGGAATTACATAGAAAAATTGGTTATTTGAGCAGAGTAACAATAAGATTTAGGTAAAACTTCTTAGTTCTATGCTATATTAATGTTTATATATATTTGTTCAAAAAATTTTGCAAGGTTTGAGTTGTAAGTGGTATGTTTTAAATATAAAAAAGGAAATGGAAATTCAAAATTTAAATTTAATAAAAGAGAAATGAAATTGTATTTGCATTAAATGAAATTCATTTCTGTTCTACATTAAAGTGCAGATTAAAAAAAAATTAGAAGAAGCACTATATGTTTCATAGCATGTACCAATAAATTCGATCAGCATATTTTTCATGTACTGGTACATGTACATATAAAATAATATACATGTGTAAATTACACAAAGATGACATAAAATTGGAGACAAAAAAAAATTAGGTATGACTCCCTCGCTTTATGGTTACAATACTGGGAAGAATGTAAACGTCCGCAAGGTCATTCTATTGACCACTAGGAAACTGCTGAATCAAAGAATTAAATGTATGGCAAAAGAAATAGTTTCTGTTTTATGTCCTTTTGTTTCATCAGAAAGTTGCAGATATTTAAGACTGTAAGAAATTTATATCATCAGCTGCGGGTTTTGACACTTAAATTTGAAGAGTTGAGGCTATCAAAATGTACAGAGGTGGTCAAAGAACTACCTATTGAAACACGGTCAATTGTGTTGAAGACTTTCCACGGTCTAGTTCCTTGTATCTTAAAATCTTTTGTGAAACTCATTACCATGGCTTTAAATTGACACTTTTATTTCTGACACCTGGATTCCTATTTTTATTTTTTTTGGCCGTATTTATTTAAAATATATCCATAGTCATTAGCTTTTGTCAAAATCAGTGACAAAGGAATTTGACGGGTCGAAATCTACTTTCGTTTTCGACAAGATCTATAAGACGCGTTACGCAATCTCTTTTGTTTCATTTATTCAAACGCTTTAATGATCTTCTTGACTAACCAATCAAAAACGTTATTAGATAACATTACGGTCTAAGAATATTACAAAGCTTGTGTAAAACATGGTAGGGCCTATCGTATACGCGATTTTTTTTTCTCCACTTAATATTTTGGCCGGTACCATGAACGAATTATTTTAAAAGACCGGGTACCGGCAGATTTTGAAAGGCCTGATCCTTAATAAAGTTTCATATTTATTAGACAGGATTGATATTTATTAAAATATAATTATTTTAAGACCTGTTTAATGTTGATGTTTGCACAGCTTCATAAAATTTCTTATTGCTTATAGCCAAAAATCTTGAATTAAAACACCTGCAAATTTAAACTTCCAAAATAAAGGAAAAGAAGAAGAAAAAAGACAAAAAGGTACACATGTAACATACCCTGTTGACTTCTCAGTACCAGCTGTTTTAGTGGCTGCATAGTTTTCATCCATAGGTCTGGTAACTGGTCAGGAGGTGGAAGTCTACAGCAGCTCACAAAGGCAGATATCTGATATATATACACAGCAAAAAGTTATACAGTATATTAAAATCAAACTCAATAAATCTATTCAAGGTGAGAAAAGGATCACATTTAAATAATTACTCCCATTCAAATTTTCTGACCACCTTGTGAATCTGAACAAATTTGTACAGTATAATAGCTTTTAACTGTAGTTTAAATTTTCAGCCAGATACATGTACATGAATTTAATCATTGTTGAAAACAGTAAATTTTACCATGTAGGAATGGCCGTTTGTATACATGTCATCAAGGATGCCTGATGTTTGACTGTGGAGTTCTGCCCCGTGGAAGATGCCGTGATTAGGTGAGGTTATACAGGCATCTGGCTGATAGATCTCAGGGTATTTGTCGGCAAAAGCATGGGCAAGCGACTGGAATACCTCCTCATCCTCTGTTGCTGCTGCGTTATTATGTAATCTCTCATAGGGCATCCTAAACAGAGAAAAACATTCAAATGTTTGTTTAGGGAAAATGAAGCTTGATTGAAGTGTTAAAACTGTGCTAGAATCATTTATGATGTAGAAAGTTTTTAAATCATCTATTGCAGATGAACTTACATTATGAAAAGACCACCAGAGTCAACAGTGAAAATGACATCAAACTTGTGTTGTTCTTTCAACTGATGTAGCAAACTTGCAGGATGAGTCTGCAATATTACAAAATCAAAGATAATTATAACAGCTATATTTTTGGTTGAGTCTTTAACAACTAAACTGCATAATGTGCATATCAACCACAGATTTAAATTTTATTAATAACTACATCTAAATCAAAGCAGGAAAGTGAAACTAATTGTTTAACATTAAGACCTACAGTATTAAACACTAGTCCATTAGGCTCTGGAACACAGCTATGGTTCTGAGAGAGTTTTATCTCCTCCTCTAGAGTTGGGACGTTAATGTTTGGAATGATGTGAAGGTGAATATCCTGAAACATCTTCATGGTTTCCGAATTTTTCATTTCGTAACCTACAATTATATACAAAAATAATTTGAATATTGTACTGAATTCATTACGTCACTCAAGGCACAAGGTGTGTCTATTTCTATTTCGTGCCACTTAGTGACACTCAGTGCTATAAAAAAGGGCTTTTATTTATTATGCAAGATTCAAATTCAAGTTGATTTTCATAAAACTCACTTAATTCCTAAAGCTTACTGATCCTCTGTCAACATTATCATAGATTTTGTATCTAAATCTCAGAGAAAAAATTACATGTATTGCACCTTCATGTTCATAAAATGCATGTGAATGTTTGGTAGCATTAGATTTATCACTTAAAGATCAGAGACAATCTTACTTGTCCTGTGTTTCAAAAGCCAAAACATATTTTAGATTGAACTACATTTTCTAAAAGAACATTATATCTGAAGAAAAGAACATACAAATATATGTACATTGAACATGTATAACCCTCACCTTTTATTTGATGTCGGATAAATCTTGTTAATAACTGAGCCCCCACTGGACTTTTGCCATCATAAAACCCTCCAATCAGAAGTACATGTGGCTTCTCATCTTCATGTTTATCTAAATTAGCTGACAAATGGACCATATAGGGTGCATTTGGTGAAACCGATCTTTTCATGTTTGTGGGAAGTACTGTGACCTCCATAATTTTTGGATGACCTTCAGCTAAACTTCTCATCTCTGCCAGAAGATCTGTGCTGTTTGTGTAAACTCTCTCCATGTTTTCCTTGATATCAAAGTCCTGGCTCTGTGACCACTGGTCAAGTTCATTTCGGGTCAATGTGAAGTTGACCTCAACTGCCACATCAGAGGTTACATGGACTTGAATGGTCTGTGAATTGTAACTGTAAGAGAAGTTAATACAGCTCAACATAAAACCCATTCTAGTTTATCCTATTGTTTTATTTTGTTTTTCCTTTATGATCTTTTTTTTTTGAGGCAAGTAAATAATGTATAAATATGCATTTCTTTTTCACTTTTTTTTTCTCAGACTTTCAGTCAAAACATTTCACATGTAATTTACAAACAGAGCTGTACCCTTCATGTGAGGCTGTGATTTTGTAGTTCCCCGGGGCCAGTAACCTCCAGTAGTCCCCATCACTGGCCGTGTGAATCTGATGATCTATACCCTCCACAGAAATGGCTGCATTCACCAGCGGACTGTCTGGGTGGGTGTCCATAACAAAGCCCTTCACCCCTTTATGTACCTTTGTTATAAATGGTATGAACAATACCAGAAATTGCATATATTTGCCCCCACAAAAGTAAAAATGAAATATGCTGATTTCAAGTTTCTCACAGTGTCCGATTTTATATCCTTTATGAGATAAAAGGAAAACTAAAAATTGAAATTAAGCTGGTATTATCATTCTACACATTAATAAATTGAACACACAGTAATTACCTGCCCTGAAATTTGTCAATTCTAGTAAGGCAAATTTATTGGCAGCCCAGTAACTTGGCAGGTCTTTGGTCAATGGAAATTTTGTACAGCCAAGTTCTATTGTTATCTCGAAACAATTTGTGTGTAAGTAATTCCAGTCTTGCATTCCACCTGAAATATTCATATATTGTAATGCATTAAAGAAGTATATTAAAAACGCAATGAAAAACATGCCTTTCCTTTAAAGCAGGATAAAAAGAGGAATGCTGAAAGTAATGAAATGGGATACAATTCTATATTGTTCAGTATCAGTAATTCAGGCCCAAGGGTCAGAAAACTTGGACAGCTCACATATGATCTGTCTCGTTTTTCCAGTTTAAATTTCTATTGTAAAAGTGAGACTGAAATTAAGTGACTCCATCTCAAGTTTTATGGCCTTAGGGTCAGATACCAACAATCTGAATTTCATTTTCTGTATGAACTTTTGAGAAAAGAATTTCATTTCTATCAGCCAAACTATTTATACAGGTAGTACATTTCTATAATTTGGATGCTTTACCAATAAAATTTTGTACAATAAGCTTTGGAGCAAAAGCTAATTGACAAGGATTGACTGTACCATTCATTCCAAAGAATAACACAACATACACGTTTATCTCTGATGTTTGTGTAGCACATTTCAATATGGTTATAGGATCCTATGGATGAACTCACCAGACACACTATACCACTGAGCTCCATTAGTTATTCCATCTTTAAAGTATTCACCATCAATCTGTGGACAGGGATGTCCTTGATGCATTGTGGAATGAGCCTGAAAATGAAAAGATAAATCTTACCTTACCCATAATAGTCAAAAGATTTCAATCAACATTTTTTAGTTCACAGTTTTTAAGCCAGCTATGTATCAGGAAAGTACTAGACAAAAGTGTGTCCGATGTCTCGCTACATAAAGGATAGAGCAGGAAAAGATTCTTTTTATTTATCAAAAAAAGAATTACCAAAGAGTAAGCCTCTGAAATAACTTTAAAAACTGCATCATCTGGACACTTGCTGTAGACGGAATAACCACTTCGAGTATCATCATAGGGGAAGTTAGCCAGGAGTGACCCCCCATGTAGGTTAGCTGACAGGACGAAGGGGTATTTCTGTAACCAGGACATGACGGCCTGGGTTTCCGGTTCCTGGTGTTTATTGATCTGAGTGGTCTGGTACTGGTCAGGGAAATTCCGGTTCAGGTCAATGCCATGAGCGTTTGGTCTCCCAAGAACTCCCTGTACATCACCTGTTGACACAGTTAAACAAGTTATAGCTAGATATTCAAACTAAGACATGAAAAAATTAACCAATTTTCTATTATCTGAAATTCTACTTATATTTTATTGATAAATATTCCACCTTCTTCTGCTACTTCATATCCATCTGGATTCATTGAGGGCATTATATGGATCCTTGTTAAATTGACCATCAGAGTCAGGAAATGGTTCTTGTTGTAATTTTCACACAATAACTGAATAAGGTTGAGGAGAATTTCCCTTCCAACAACTTCATTGCCATGCATATTTCCAATATACTTGAATTCTGGTTCTCCTAATAATTAAAAAAAATGGGATTACAATAGTCAAACTTAAATCAATGAATACATTTACCATTTCTAGAAATTTTTTTATTCTTGAAAATATAAAACAATGAGTGAAAGACCAATCAAGGCTTTGCTATTTTGAAGAAGATTTTTAAAGAATTTTCCTACATATTTCTATGTAAAACTTTGGTTGGCCATTTTGGTCAAGGTCATTCTTAGAAATACAGGTCAAACAGAGGTATTCAGTGAATCTACACTATCAGGTGTCCTTCCATATAAATATGCATCATCCATTCAAGAGCTTTGACTTTATGGATAAAGAAGATTTTTAAAGAATTTTCCTATATACACACTGATAAATAAACCATTAGTAACATGACAGACAAAGGGAATTTTAGATATAATGTTTAAATACATTTTGAAGGATGGGTTCCATATAAGATCCTTCCTGGCCACAGTGGTTCTGAATTTAAAGAAGATTTTTAATATATCTTTCATATGTATTTCTATGTAAAACTTTGGTCGGCCATTTTGGCCCCGCCCTACCCCCGGGGGTCATGATTTGAACAAACTTGAATCTACACTACCTGAGGATGCTTTCCTATAAGTTTCATCTTTCCTGGCAGAGTGGTTCTTGAGAAGAAGATTTTTAAAGAATTTTCCTATATATTTCTATATTAAACTTTGAGCGGCTATTGTGGCCCCGCCCTACCCCTGGGGGTCATGATTTGAACAAACTTGAATTTACACTACCCCAGAATGCTTCCCTATAAGTTTCATCTTTCCTGGCAGAGTGGTTCTTGAGAAGAAGATTTTTAAAGAATTTTCCTATATATTTCTATGTAAAACTTTGATTCCCCATTGTGGCCCCGCCCTTCCCCCGGGGGTCATGATTTGAACAATTTAGAATCTACATTATACCAGGATGCTTCCACATAAGTTTCAGCTTTCCTGGCCCAGTGGGTCTTGAGAAGAAGATTTTTAAAGAATTTTCCTATATATTTCTATGTAAAACTTTGATTCCCCATTGTGGCCCCGCCCTACCCCCGGGGGTCATGATTTGAACAAACTTGAATCTACACTACCAGGATGCTTCCATATAAATATGATCAATTATGGCTTTGTTTTTCTTGAGAAGAAGATTTTTAAAGAATTTTTCCTATATATTTCTATGTAAAACTTTGATTCCCCATTGTGGCCCCGCCCTTCCCCCGGGGGTCATGATTTGAACAAATTTGAATCTACATTATACCAGGATGCTTCCACATAAGTTTCATCCTTCCTGGCACTGTGTTCTTGAGAAGAAGATTTTTAAAACATTTTTCCAAAATATTTTATTAAAACTTTATCTCCCCATTGAATGAGGGCGTGGCCCAGGGGTCATGATGTGAACAACTTAGAATTTACATTCACCCAAGGATGCTTTTGGCAAGTTTGGTTTTCTGGCCCAGTGGTTCTTGAGAAGAAGTTGAAAATTCAAAATTTTTCCTATATATTTCTATATAAAAATTTGATTCCCCATTGTGGCCCCGAGCCTTCCCCGGGGGTCATGAGCTAAAAATGGGATTACAATAGTCAAACTTAAATCAATGAATACATTTATTCATTTCTAATACAATTTTTTTTTCTGTTCCTCTTTAAGAGTATAAAACAATGAGTGAAAGACCTTAATCAAAGGTTAAAGGACACATAATTTGAAGAACAAGGCAAACAGAGACTACCTCAACTTAACAATTTAAATGACCATCACCCAAGGATGCTTTATACCAAGTTTACAGGTCAAACAGAGGTATTCAGTGACCCTCATCTATCAGGTGTCCTTGGTCAAAGTCAAAATGGTGCATCATCCATTCAAGAGCAATTACTGACTTTATGGATAAATAAATACTAAATCAAGTTTGTTCAAACATACACACTGATAAATAAACCATTAGTAACATGACAGACAAAGGGAATTTTAGATATAATGTTTAAATACATTTTGAGTTGGGTTACTCAAAAACCATAAATATCTTCCACTTATCTGCCATAGATGTATACTGTAAATCACTTTTTATTTGCGAGAACTTTATTTTCGCATAATTACGCGAGACAGTGTGCTCATGAAAATTTAATTCTCGCGTATAATAGTACATGTGTGTTCCTTAAGAATATATAGAGCAATAACCACAATTCGCGAAAATTTTGTCTCGCTTATCAAGAGTCAATGACTATCTCGCGAAAATAAGGTGTCGCCAAAATTTAGTGATCTACAGTATATATATATTATACATAAACATGGAATTATCTACTAACCAGGTTCATGTTTTCCAGGGATATCAGTGATTTCCAACACCCATAAATGTCTGCCTTGTACACTAAGTCCAATACTGTACAGTTTAGTAATATTTGGATACTTCTTATTAAAACGTGTCATAAACTTTTCCATATCTTCGTAATTGTGGTGGTGGAATTCCTTTGGTTCAATGAAGTTGACCTTTTCCCTGTGTGAGTAGTCCTTGATTTTGTTGATGTGTTGGACCAAGGTTTCCAGGGTGTCAGGTCCCTCGGGTATACTGGTGTCTAAGGTTGTGGGTACCACGGGAGTAGGAGTGTTTTGGGATTTGTCTGTGGGAGTTGTAGGGGATTTGGTACTTACTGGTTCCTGTGTTGTTGGTTTACTCTCCTCTACCTTTGGTACATTGCTGCGTAAAAAATGATACAAAAGAAAATTAGAAAACTTATCATCTCTCATTCTAAGAGAAAAAGGGGTTTGGTTCTTCATTTGAATAATTGCTATTTCTCTTTACCCAAAGATACTCTGTGAGAGGTGTGGTTGAAATTGACCCCATGGTTTACAGACTGACAAATGAAACCAAAGTCAGATGGACTGATGAACAGACTTCGATCAGAGAAGCTCACTTGAGTTTCTGGCTAATACAGCTGCTCGGTGTAAAAAAAAATTAAGGAACTGTGCAATTTAGGTATTTACCTACAACACGATTTTGAAGTATGTCAAAGTGTCACAAAATCATTTTCTGTCTAGATTGCACTGTTTATGTAGAAACTGTATACATGTACATGTATTGCTAAAGTTTATTAACTGTTTACATGTACAAATGCATTACTAAATTTTATTGCAACCTAATATTATATACTACATAATTATGTTTATATTACCATGCCACTCAACCTACTTTGATGTATGTTATATTAACTTATAATGCTAAAGATGCATGTCTTGGGCAATAAAGATTAGTAGTAATGAGCTAAAACATGAATCAATAAATGTAATAATACACATAAAAATTAAAAAAAAATCATTGTGGATTTTATCATTTCTGACTTAAAGACTTAAAGATAGACCATCTTCCCTCCATCTCCCAAACATCTTCCATTATTATGTCACCTTTCCCAAATCCCAGATGAAGCTTAATTGAAGGTACATTCATAATATACAATGAAGCAGTTTTATAAATAGAAAGAAGGAAGGTAATAAACATCTGTCACTTTTGTTCAAAATCACCAGTTGAAATAAGCACAGGTGATTTATAAAAAACAAAACTCAAACACTTGTGTAGGATGAGCTCGCATGCGCAAGTGCAACAGACTTTTAATAGCATATTTATACAAAACACTGTCGTCATTTCGACATTATCTTTCCAAGTCTGCAAAAGAAAAATGACATTTCACATAACTACATACAAGGTTACCTGGGATGGAGTAGGAATGGATCTGTTGCACTTTAAACAGAAAAACTGAGAATAGCTTGAAAACCTCACAATTGTTTTATTCAGTGCAAAGAAATCATGCCTCAAGCTTAGCATGATTTTATCTAATTAACTGAAAAAACTACATGTACAAGCACTTGAGCTTTGATGATTACATGCCCTTTATTTAAAAAAAACCAAAGTTAGGTTCCAAGCAAAGAAACGTTTGTAACTACATGTATTAATAACACTGCCATATGTTAATTATGGTACAAGTAATAATAGCAAATCTTTGTGATTTGTTTGGATTACAAAAAGTCAAAGAGACACAAAAAGACAAGATACCAATGGGCCTTATGAAGAAGGGAAGAGTTAGAGCATGTACCCTCATAAATCAGTATATTTAAAGCTAAAACTTTGGGGGTGTTAAGTATTGGGGTAAATATTTTTTTTTTAATCTTAAACATTCTAAGCACCAATTTCCTAATGAAGGATTTATTTCTCAGTAAAATCCACCACAGTAAAGCATTTCAAATCGGTCTTATTAATATTATATTTACATTTCAGTTAATCCTCTATGCTGTAGCTTTAATTTAATCAAAATAAACTGTCAAGAGCTGAATTTATTTCTCGTTTTCTATAACAGTGTACCCATAGAATGACAAAGTGTAAACCTTTGAAGTAAAAGAAAACAGGTTACCTGTTCCTATCAGTTGCTCTTTTAACCAACATAAAACTCATCTCAGTAGCTGGTCCAGCATTCACGGACACACTTTTTGTCTGTGGTTGGTAGCTGTATTCAAACAAAAAATTGTGTTGTTAGTGTCACTTAACAAATATTTTGGAATAAGAAAGTTCATCAATACAAATATATAAATAAATTTCATCTCTCACTGTGCATTTGAAATGTTGAAGTATGACTGTATCTTTTATTACAAACCCGTTTGTATATCTAGTACCAATTGGTAAGTTATCTACTAGTCTATAGTGTTTAGTTTAGGTATATATTGTAAATGCATTATAACAACACAAATGCCTATAACTGAATTCTATTTAAAGAATTCTATTGAAAATCTCATTACCTGGTATTCGGTTAACAGAAGTAACTGTAAATTTTGTTTTGCTTTGAAATTTTCAATAACATTTTGTGTACCATTATTTTTGCAATACTTATAGTGATCAAAGAAAGCTTGACCTTGTTAACTGTATTGTGTAAATTAAAATTTCTTATGTTTGGTTAAGCTTGGGACAGTACATACCCTGCAGCTACAGCTGTTATCTTGTAAGTACCGGGTACCAGAAGTCGCCAGTAGTCCCCAAAGAAGGAGGAGGTGAGGTTATGCTTGATTCCTTCCACCATAATCACAGCATTTCTTAATCCATTCTTTGTCTCTGCATCCTGGACAAACCCTTTTACTCCTTTATGCACCTATTCAACAAATAAACATTAAAGAATGGCCATATTTCAAAACATCTGATCTATTCATTAGTAACAGTAAGGCTCATATGATACCATGCAGTTTTCAACTATTCTGTATTAACTTTGATTAAATACACTTTCTTTAAAAACACCTGTATTATGCATGTGCTGTGCACTAAATTCATCACCACAACTCATGTTCATACACCTTGCAATATATCAGGAAATTATTATACCAAAAGAAATACAGACTACTGATTAGTTCAAAAACTATATTCTTTCTCTTTTGAGAGTTAATACTACCTTATCATTTTTCCAATTGTATGTTGACTCACAAAATATTTAGAGTTTGACACCATACTAAACACTGCTAAAAGAGACAGATGATAAAATTATTTCATTTCCAACCTGTTCCATGAAGGACAACAATGACTCTTTATTGTTGTACCATTCTTCTTTCAGATGGGATGCTTTAGGATATTTACAACAAGACAGCTCAATGGTAATCTCCATACAATTACTGTGGAGATAATTGTAGTCTTCCATTCCACCTACAGCAGCAAAAATATACAAGTATATCAATACATGTATTATAAACAAACAATATTTTTTTTCTAGAGTAACAGGAAACATTTTTTTTTTTTAAATACTGTAAATCAATATTTATTCGTGAGAACTTTACTTTCACGTAATTACGCGAGACAGTGTGCTCTTATTTAGGTTTTGAGAAAATTTAATTCTCGCATATGATAGTATTCCTTAAAATTATATAGAGCAATAACCACAATTCGTGAAAATTTTGTCTGGCTAATCAAGAGTCAATGACTATCTCAAAAAAATAAGGTGTCATGAAAATTTAGTGATGTACAGTATTTTTGTGGAAATCCTTAAGTGCTAGCTGACAGGTTATAGGAATTTCTGTGTTTTTCTCTTCTTCCTTTTTTTCGCCAGTAAATGACAGTAAAGAAATGTTTTTTTATCATGTTCATCCTTACTTATTTAGGATTATATTCAGTTTGAAATTTTGCCACTTTTTACATAAATCTTTGTTGTAAATTTTCAACAACAGACTTCAAAAATGGGGGGGGGGGGGATGATAAAACATTTTCATTTAATTAGAAGGGATTACCAGAAAGCTTGTGGACTGAGTAAAATTAATGCAGCATATATTTCAACATAATGCTCAGAATATTATTATTTTATGTCAAAATAATTTGACATGCCCTTATCACCATGTTTACAGCCATGCATGTACTTTGATGACCTGCAATGTCACATTTAGTAATATATAAACAGCACTTTTCATGTTGCAAAGAAAACAACTGTCCTCATACTTATAGAATCCTGTATAGTGTTCAAGGATATCAATATTTCTAATATCTGTAAAAAAAAAAAAAACTACATGTGCATGCAACTGTTTCCTGAGCTATAATCCCAGTATTCTTGCATAATATACATGATATAGTGAAGTGTAATAAATTAGCAGAACAAAACAAAAAGTGCAAGTACCTGGGACATCATACCAGTGTGCACCATTAGTAACACCATCTGGAAAGTTATCTCCACAGTGTCTCCCAGACTTCATTGTTTTATGGTTGTTAGCATAAACATGCGCAAGTTGTTTGAATACAGCATCATCTGGAGCCGCGCTGTACTCTCCACTCATCCTATGGTCAGCGGAATCATCAAAAGGATAACTAGCCACTACACTCCCCCCATGAAGATTTGCAGAAAGAACAAACTGTTGTCCTTCAATCCAATCCATCAATGCCTTAGTTTCTGGTTGTATTTCGTGATTCCTTGGGTTTCCATCAAACTGATCAGGAAAATTTCTGTTAAGATCCACATTATTTTGATTTTCCCTCCCAACCTCTCCATCACATTGACCTTCAACTGCATTTTCAAAACCATCAGGATTCATGGTGGGCATGATATAAATGTTTGTATTTTTCACCAGAGCAGTGACTCTATCATCTTTTTCATAGTGTTCAAGGAGATACTGAATAAGATAAATGAGAATTTCCCTCCCTATCGCTTCATTTCCGTGCATGTTGCCAACGTATTTGAACATAGGTTCACCAGGTTCCACTCCTTCTATATTGTCTGTAATCTGAAGAGCAAGTAAGTCTCTGTTTTTCACACTTTTACCGATGGTATGAAGGCGAGATATTTTAGGGTATTTAGACGCCATGTCATGAAGAAACTTCGACAGTTCCTCATAATGGTGATACTTAGAAAAGTCAATAGTTCCGTCAGTTCCCGAAGCTGTCAAATAATCAAAATGAAGAAAAATAACGAAATAAAGAACAATGTGATGCATTTTTCTATCCATTACACGTCTACAATCCCGCATATTGTCATTTTTTTTTTACTGAGGGTTAGACTAATTTCATCAAACGTTAAATATATGTACAATCGTAGCAAATTGATATGTTACAAAATGTTTTGTATATAAAAATATGAAGATACTCGTTCTTTTACAGTTTTAAAGATAAGTGAGTGACCATATGCAATATTTTAGTTTTTAAAAAATGAAGAAGAATCGGTGTTTTTTAATTCTTTCGTTAATTAGTTAATTCTTTTTTGCGGAATGGAACTGAAAAAATGAATACGAGTTAATTATTTGTAAGCATCATGATATACTTGGAAAAATTAAATGAATGAATATTTTGAAAAAATAAAAATTCTTATATGAAAAAAACAAAATTGCAACAAAAATTTCAATAAACATTTAGTTTCGTTTTTAACGATTACTATTTTACTCTTATAAAGTTAACCACGTGATTATGTAAACAAAAACAGAGCAGACGGAGATAAAAATGGGCTACAATGTTCTACTTTTTGTGCCAAATGTTATAGGTAAAATATCACTGTATAAAAGATGCAAAGCTTAATGTAGATAGTTACGTAATAATCAGTATATACTTATGTCATCTTATGCATCACTTTTTCGTTAAAATTAATAGAGCACTTCCCATCCAAAAATCAGCTGTCAAAATTTCCAATAAAGTTTGTACAGATATCAGGCAATTAATCTGGAGCCATAATATTCATGTTTTTTTTTTATATATATCATTCATGCAAGGTAAGCAAGACTTGTAGCCATCTGGGAATCAACTATCTTTAACAGTTTATACATGGTGTAACAGCTAGAAATAATTTAATAAAAAGGAGAAAAATGGACAAGGATTTGAACTTTGGTCCCTGAATCACTGCATTTTCTTGTGCTCTATCAACTGAGCTATCCACAGCTATGCCATCAAACGTGTCTGACTGCCACCATAGAATTCCTCGATCCTTCCCAAAAGACTTAGCCCTTCATTCAACTTGGTCAAAGACACCAACCCATGCACACATTTCCCTGGTAGGTCTTTTACCAGTCAATTTCAGGACATTTCAAGGCACCATATGTAACAAAAAAGGAGAAAAATGCAATGGACTAGACCAGGATATGGATTAACCCCCTCCCAATTCACTAGCCAGATGCTTTACTAACTGAGCTATCTGCATGACCACTATCAAACCTTTCTGACTGCCACATTGCCATAGCCATGAACTTTGTCCAAGAACAGAGCTTTACAATCTTGAGAAGGGAACTTGCTCCTAAAATGTACCAGATACATTTATCTATCTCACAGGACAAGTATGTATACACTTTCTGAAGAATGGGTGGTATTGGTAATAAATGCATACAAAATAAAAATCTGTTGTTTGTGCATGTATTGACTAATCCGAAAGTATATATACATGAATATATATATATCCAGAAAATAAAGATTAAATTTTTATACCTCAAAAAATGTAAAAAGTTCAATGATAAACCTCTTCAGCACCTGTGGAGCCCCAGACCAGAGATAACAAGAATAGATATGGGTTACCCCATATCCAAAGATATTCGACTGTTAGATTTAATATGTTTAACAGTGTTTATAATGACGTTAATAAAAAAAACTGCACTGTCTAATTATGGAACTGTTGTAAATATCGTGATTCCATAGCATTACGGTAACCCAGTCTCCTAACAAACAGTACACATAGGCCTACATGTACCTGTAGCCTTGGTCTACACACGTGCAATGGAGCTGTCACACGCATCCAGCGAGCTCGGAGAAACACGTTTTGTTTTGCCGAGAAGTTACGGTGTCAGACAAAACTTTTCTTTTCTTAATTAGATCATATAAATACGAATTCTGATTAATAAAAATTATACAATCCCTGTTGAACTTTATATAGTTTGTTCTAACATTTGCATCTGCAACAACTTGTGTTTAAAATGGCCGGGTTGGGAAAATCAGGACCGGGTCGGAAAATTCTAAACTGAAAACATGGAAAACCTTTTTTGTTTTGAAAATAACTGAAATATACTAATATATTTGTCGCAGAAATTACTTACATTATTCAAGTTCTATATATAATGGTATGCTGAACTTCAACACGAACCCGAATCTCCAACCCATGCAGTTCTCGTTTTGCCACACATACCCTACAGTTTACAAAGTGTACACACGAGCAGGCTAGGGATTGAAAATTCCGTCATTTAATAATACACACACACAGCTGCTAGAATGATTAATTTTTTCTTTAAGAACAAATTGTATGATAATTAACGGACTATAAACATGTACTTAATACAATTGTTGATATAGTATTATCAATTCATTGGTGAAAAGATATGAATCGAAGAATGACCTAATTATTCTCTGTTATCAAACACGTAAAAAAAAAAAAAAAAAAAAAGGCTGAGGAGGGAGCGAGCGTAGGAATATTGATATTTTTTATTTGCATTTCGGGGGGAAAGTGACTTTCTAATGATATTTTGACGTTATTTTTGATTTCTTTAACGTATGACATACACAACTTTACTCTTATCATGAACAATAATGTTGTATCTACTTATCATGATGGAATTATTTTGGTCGGACCAATATGTGTGAGCTGCCGCTGAATACAGTTATATATCTTGCAAAGATAGTATGCATTGATCGAATATATATAGAAAATTACACAACTTAATTTTGTCACATTTACTTCATACGGTCAGTTCTGGTCAATTGTAATAAAAAGATTGATATTTTTGCTTTTTAATTTAAAATTCCACTAAAAAGCGTAATTATTAATCAGGGCTCTGTTGGGTTCTGTTGGTATACTTCTATAATGATTTACAGCTTACCAGGTAATAAGATCAGTCTGTTGTGTTTGTAGGTTATTTTCGACTGTGTTTGTTTGGAGCCAGTCTTCCCTTCTTTACTGAGCCAGGATGGTTTTTAGCTCTCTATGGAACTTCTGTAGCCCTTGATGGTAAACTAATGGGTTTTTTTAAGGAAATATTTTATTATTCTTTTCCAATTATTTTAAAGGTACAGTAATCTGAAAATTATATGTGTCTTTTCATTATTAAAGAAATGGTTGTTTACTAGAAGAACAAATTAAGACAAAACAAATGTTTCCCTTTGTCATATAGGATTTGATGGATATTTTGCAAGGAAGCTGAATCAGACATCAAGATTTGGAGCATGGGTAAATAATTTTATTTAAATGTAACAAATGCAAAATTGTAAATTCAATGAATGTGAAATAAAAGAATAAATTTCTTCATTGATTGAAGTAAATAAATGTCAAAAATCTAAGCATGAAAGCTACTTTAATTTTTAGAAAAGAGAATTTTTTTTTCATTTACATCTTCTGATTTTTGTTTTTGTATTATCAGTTTGATGTTGTCATTGATTTAATCAGCAGAGGAGGATTATGGTGTCTGCTTTACAAGGTAGCTAACTCACAAATTCTTTTAATAAAAGCTGGTGATTCTTCTACTTTTTTAAAATATAAAATCAATCACTTTCTTAAAAAGTTACAATGTTTTTTAAATGTATTTTAGCAAAAATGATTATACGAGGGTCATTCAAAAAGTTTGTAGACTTTGTCCTAACTTTTTTATTTAACGTCACATTATATCCAAATTTGGTACAAATATTTTAACAACAGATTCTTCAAATAATTTGAGTAAAAAAATTGGAATGTATCTTCATATTTATTAAAATTACCAAGGATTCAGTCATTCAGAACAGGAAAAATGTGATCACGGAGCAGGGTCAAAATTGAGTAATTTACTTATTTTCACTTTATAGTATTTAAAGCCATACCTCTAATAAATGGAGCTGAAACGAAATAAAATTTACATGTTTAAATAAAGTATTGCTGTATTAATTAAAATGAAATCAGGTTATGTAATATGTCACTCCATTTTAAAGATATCAGTTTCTAAATACATATGGACTTGCTTAAAAAAAAGCAAAAAACCACGACGTTGGAGAACGTCACGGAGCAGCAAGTAGCAATAAAATTTGTACTTTACATTCGGGAAACTTCTTCTACAAGCTTAAAAATTCCGTATAAACCAGGATCTGTATGAAAAATAATCTATGTATTTGTATTAAATGGAAAATACAATTTTTGAGTGGTAGCAAGTTTGAATCGGACGATGGATTGTCTGCAAAGAAACAGGTTAAAGTTAAAAATATTGTCGAAAGAGTTAGGAACGTCATTGAACGTGATGTTTGCTTCACTGTTGCAGAATTGATAGAGTTACATGGTAAATTAAAGAATTTAAAAACAATGACATTCTTATTCAAGCTATATTTGTACAATGGTTCGCAAACTAGGTGTTAAGTGTTATGGGTATGTTTTTTTGAATGGAGAAGAAGCTACAAACCGTGTTTGAAATTAACAAAATTAGTATAATTTTGACAAACTTTCTCAACGTTGTCTTTGACGTTACAATGTTGGTTAACCGTGCTCTGTGGTAACAAAACATGTTGGTTTAAATTTTGGCTAACATGAGTTCTATTTAATCAAATGGAATGAAACTTCACACTTCGACAAAATAAATGTTTATGTTTACGAAAATGTGTTGATCTATAATCTTGTAATAATTATATGACAATGAGAAGCATTGTCTATGTATTTTTTGAATGACCCTCGTATATAGCAAATTTAATTCCTGTATCATAGACAATTATTTCATTGTTCTCATACAGGAAATTGATGAATAATGAACTCATGTGGTACATGTATATATATGAATTATTGATATAAATACTGTTATTACTTATGGTAAGCAATTTCACCATCTTCAGTGATTTGCTTTAATTGATCTTGAATTACATTTGAACTAATACATTGTACAAACATAATTTAATTTAATTCTTGTAAAGTTGTAAATTATTGTTTTGAATACTTATTGGGGTGTTATCATATATTGAAATTTTGTACAGTTTGGATATTTCATGATACTTGTGGAATGGTTAACATTTACTGCGACCCATACTCGAGGAGCTAACTGGAAAATCCCAGATGAAGAATTTCCTCATCTCTGCAAATTAGTGATGGCAAAAGGTAATCTCCTCTTTATTGATTATATATACATTGTATATGTATGTATGTGTATATAAATGCATTATCAAACAGCACTCTATAAAATGAGGCTAGGGACATTTCTGTAAACCAACTATTATTTGCATCATCTTTTATTCCCGATTTGTCTGTTTGAAATCAATTCACAACGATTAATTTTTGCAATTCTGGAAACATTCTCTACAAATACGAAACAAAAAGATTGGTTCACAGTGATTCTTACCCACAAGTTAAAATACAGTAAAACTCAGTTATATTGACAAAGTCACGGGGACTAGTAAAATTATTTCCGTAATTCGTTATATCTGTATAATAAGGAATTCGTTAAACTTATATAGCTGGGGATCTAAAATAACTTAGCTATATATCCGTGATTTCGCTATATCTGTGTTCGTACTAAATGAGTTTTCCTGTAGGTAGCCAAAATAGTGGTTATTTCTCGCACTGGAATAAGTTGGTTTACAGTATCCCAGGCTCTGTCACTTGCAGAGTATGTTCCACATGATTTGAATATTTTTGCATGGGTAAGAAGTCAACTTTCTTTCTGTCAGTTTGTTGATAGATTTTCTTGAATTTTGATAAAATTTGGAATAAATGAAGTTAAGGTAGATGCAGACTTAGGTAAAGATTTTAATTTTATACATCCATGTTGCCATTCCTTTCTTTGATTCTAATCCTTAATCAAGTACATGTATCTTGTAAGATGTGATACTTTCATGTGTTGAAATCGAATAGATTGCGGTAATTGTACTTATGCAGTAAGAGAGCCCAAGGACTTTATAAGTCATTTGTTAAATAATATTAATTGTTGAAAATTGGAAAAAAATGAAGCAAAACATGTTTATATTTCAGGTTTTAAAACTCCTTTAGGATTTATAGCTATATCAGGTGTACATGGTCTACCTATAGCTTTATACTGTCAGCAGTCGAGTTTATTTCAGTTGTTTCCTGTACTGACTCCCACTGTTTTATACCCAATCATCATCTTCCTTGTTATCGGGAGAATCCTAGCATTTAGAGTTGAGGTGAGCTCCAGTATTTGGCTGTTACTTTATATAGATTGTTTAAAAATGGGCTTTGATTATCCATGAAATACTCTGTTTGTTTACTTTAGAATTGGTAAATGAATCAATGGTTGAAACATTGCAGAAAAAAATAAATGATTCATGAGAGTTCACTTTATGAGTGAAAACAAATTTTATAGCACCTTCATATTTTTTCAGATCTTTTATATACAGAGCCACATAAAAGGTTTACTCTTGGAGGAAGAAAATTCCTAGAAAAAAAGACTTGGATTACAATTGTGTACAAGTTGTATTGCCATTGACAATCATTTTAGTACATATATAAAATTACAAGTATATTAATTTTCCCCATAAATTAAATATTAAAAGAAATCCTTTTTTATTTTAATGAGCTCAACCAAACATTGTTCTACTGGTACATGCAATATATTCTTTCCATTTTTAAATTGTTTATATGGTATATGGTTTGTGAATACATTTACAATTTTTACAATAACAGGGTATTATATGATAATTTCATTTTTGGATTAAGGGTTTATTCAATTTTTGGATTCATTGTTTTAACATTTTTATTGGAACACATATATTATATTCATTTATTATATTTTTTTTGTACTTATTCCATTTCTTGTATGTTCCTATGTTATGAAAACTACCGGTAACCAAAGAATTGTAACTCGGTACATTATATTTATGGACAATCAATGTGATTTTTGACTGGTATAATTTGTTAATGCATTGTCTTCATTGAGTGTGCACAAGTGCAGATTTTACATTAAGTTAACTGATATTACAGGATAAACCCCACTTGAATAAATAAAAAAAAGAAAATCCATGATGATTTGAGTGATAACAGCCTATCTTTTCTGGGAATGTACCTTGTAGCAAGATTCCCTAATGAAAAGTAATTTCCAGTGATTTCACCTTATATTAGCATAAATTAAAACAAAAATGACTAACAAATTAAGAAAAAATTACCAGAATTTTGTCAGAATGTCATAATTATATGTACATAATATTTTGAAACATTAAGGAGGCTGGGGGGTCAACAAATTAACCACAAATTAACCACCAGATTTAACTTATTTTTTTAGATACGATATCTTAAGCTGTCAACTATCAATTGGCAAAGAAAAAAATGCATACATTTTAGTTTTAAAATTTGATCATTTTTGTTTATCTTTATATGGAGTTCTTCTTTTAAAGGAGATCAAAATAGTCTGAAAATGGCTGCCACCCCCAGCCTCGATCTTTAACAATATACAAGTTCAAACAGAGTCAATCCTCCCTGTGAAGCAAACTGTTTTTCACAGCACAGTTTGAATATATGACATTTAACCCTTACCTGTGATTTAAATCTAATCAGGATGTAAGACAATCAAAAATATGCATTACCAGTACACTTACTTTTTTATAAATGTTTATGATTTATTAGCATGACATGTTACTTTTTAAAATTTTTATATATAAAAATTATCTGTGATTATGATACATGTATTTATATTGATATTCTCCAATGCTCAAACATTCCCAAAGTTAAATGTGTTTATGATGATATTATACATGTTTTAATGTTGATTTGAATATTGATTTGTATTATTGACTAATCTCTCATATCAGGACGTGTTTCTTATCTAAAAAAACCTTACAAAGAGAAGTAGTACAATGTATTCTAACTGTAGAATGATACTATATCATTCCAATAACAACATATCACTTTGTTTACTGGAGCGTGAGAAAGCTTCAAATGCTGATCATCATATTTCTCACTGATTGGATGATTGATTTCAATGAAACAAATACTACTTTGCACATGTATGAACAGAGGAGCCAGCAATATGATTTGACTTATTCTCATTAGAGAAATGGAGGCTTTCTCCTGGATGTAGGCGAAAGCCTGTCTACTTCTCTCAAGAGAATAATTATGTTTGACTGACTATGTGTTGCTGCTTATTACATATGTCGTATTCATAAACAATTATTCAATGCAGTTGGTCTGTATTATCAGAATATTGCTAGATTCTTTGTGCCATAAGCAAAGTAGTTGTTATCTCATTGAAATCAAACATCCAATTGATGAGAAATATGGTGATTATAACATTTGAAACTTTAGCATGATCCATCAAACAGAGTGACGTGCAGTTATTGGAATGAAAGTACATGTATCTCTTTTACGGCTTGTTTTTGTTTCAAAGAAGAAATAAAAACACATGTACAGGATAGTAAGATTTTTTTCTAATAAGTTATATCTATACATTTGAATGAAATTCTGTTGAGTTCAATATTTGCTAAATTATTTTAAGAATTTGTTATATAACCAGAACAACATTTCAGAATTTTAGTCAAAAATGTGATTAATTTTTAATCTATGGACAATTTACAATGCTGCATTGAAAATACACTTGAAAATATTAAGGGTTTCATATCAATCTTCATTTTTTTTATAATCCTTTTCATATTGAAAGTACATGACTATATATATTCATTTTTTAATCAATTGTTACTTTTTATACTCAATTTAGTATGACAATCAGTAGTTAACCAGTTGTTATTACAAATAAAACTGAAAAACAAAAACAAATCTTAAAAAATCTTGTTTTATTATACAGAGTTGTGTTTATGGACAGTTTTCTAATTCAAAAAACAAATTAATTAATCAAGATCTGCATTTCTTGAGATGGCAATTCTGTAACTCCACATTCCCAGCATGACACCTTGTGACGTCATGACAAGTTCGTCTGCGGGTTCGTTGACCTTTTCCACAGCTTTTACTGCAAGGACTCCATTTCGACCATGACCCATATCCTGTCCAAAAGAAAATCCTTGAACTTAAAAAGCTACGTGTATAATTAATTCAATATACAATATTAAACTTTGGCTGATATTAGTACCTCCATTAGGATCAAAGTCATCCTCTTCAAATACAAGGCTCTCACGTATTTGTCGATGAAAATTCTTTATTGGAATATTCTCCATTGTGGTGATTGAAAAATACTGTTTATCTTCTCCATCCATAGAATCTTCCTCCTGTTTATTTGAAAATAGGTCTATATATAAAACTCTAGTATATGCCTTGTAAACCTTAAACAATTTAAAGCTAATTAGGACAACAACCCCCCCCCCCCCACCCCCCAACTTGACATCCACCTTTTGGCCTTAACAATTCGCGTAAAGGGTGTAGATGATCTGACATACCCAGCAAACCAGACAGTGATTCCTTAATAAAATGTCATTAAAAAACTTAACTTATCAATTGGAAACCCATTTCATGATAATTATGATAAGTGGGCAAACAATAATCATGCTCAAAGCAGGTCCGTAGCAACAGTAATTTACTGTCCAAATCATGAAATTTGTCAGTCCTCAGCCATATATACAGCAAAAAACAAAAAATGGGACAACACGCATATATAAATGGATTTACCATTGCAGAAAAGGGGGACCTCAGCGTTTTAATCTGGTAGCTCGCTGATCTGAAAAAATGGGATGGACGACCGGAGAGCTTTAGTGCCACCCGTCTCAAAACCGCAGACGGAGTTTATCTCTCAGGTGAGATGTGGTTGATTCGATACGCAAGTGCATTCTCTACGTATGAACAATTTCTAAGACAATGCAAGTTATTGGCAAACAAGTTATTTATACACTGAATTGTCGACCGATTTTTTCGTTGTTTCCCATCATGACAATGGGATGTTTACTCCTCCATGGCACCTGATCTCATCTCTGATGTTTTAGAGGTCCCTGTTTGCTCTGCTCCTGATTTGTATTGTTTAATGGCTTTTTGAGCTTGAATAGTTCTACATATATTATTTCATTCAACTCTGACATCTCTCTCTCTCTCTCTCTCTCATACTTACACGACCTTCTTTGGTGTATATTTCAGCTATCATCAATGCAAATACATACGCCGTAAAAAGCCAAACTGTAATATTTTTCTGGAAACAAAACAAGATGTATTCAGAACTTTCTTGTTCTTTGCTTAATTTATTAAAAAACATATAATGTATTGCTTAACTGTTAAAAAAACAAAATGATTTTCAGAGTGTTTTATATGGTTCTTAAGAATCATCTGATAGTTTTTTTTCTTTGTATATATTCTTATACACATGTAAAAGCATTTTAGAAATTCTACATGCGTATTTAAGCATTTTTCAAATTTTCTTTATTTTTACTGAGCTAACATTTCTAGTATTGAAACAAGCTAATTCAGAGAACCTGCTACACCCCCCCCCCCCCCCCCCGCTTAGGGAACAAGCTATAAACTTCAGAGAATCTGTGTCCCCCGTTAAAGTCGTCTATGGCGTATTTATGATAAGTTCAGACTAAATTAAAAAGATCTTTCTATTTGTTTTCTTACTTAATTAATTCATAGATATCACAGATTTAAAACAATAACCGATTTATTTCCGACTCGGAATTAAATAACAGACACAGTTTAAAGTCAATCTAAATATATAATACGAAGAGCATATACTCGAATGAGGGACGGGCGGTGGGGGTTAAAGGGAGCAAGTTAAGAGGGGACAGACGGGGCCGTAGGGCGTAATAGTATAAATTGTCATTGCAAAAGCTTAAAATCTTCTTGGGATATTGCTTGGAAATGAAAGTTTTTTTACGAACACACATAATGTATGATGTTACGAGGACCTAAAAATAAAAAGAGGTGTCGATCCCTAAGCAGGCTTCTTTCTTAGGCCATATTGAGTTGCTGTGTAAAATTTCATTGTAAAAGCTCAAAAGCTTCTCGAGGTATCGCGCGGAAACAAAAGTATTACAGACAGACAAAAAATAAGCTAGACGGACAGACAGACCGAAATTATTACCCCCACTTTGTGAAAGCGGGGGACAAGTCAAAGGATTCTTGATAATTATGTTTCCCGTAAATAAAAGTTCGACACACAGGCAGAAAATACAAATTACGACCTTGACCTTTTGACCTTAAATAAAAAGGGTCTTCCTTAGGAATAATGTAAGGAGTTGTGATTTAAAATTTAACTGCAAATGCCCAAAGGCTTCTCAAAATATTGCACAGAAGAATTAGCTTGTTTGTTTTAAGCATTGTTTGTTTTTTACGGTCACATTCGATAATTTTTCATCCATAATCCATAAGCATGCTGGTGAAGGACTTCAAATTTGCTTGACACTCAGGAATAAATAATTGAGGGGTTTTCTGTGCACCAACGCCTACTGTGTCAGGATACCCCCCCCCCCCCCGTCTCAACCCAGAACTGTTGATCACGAAGCTAGCGCCCTGCTTCTAGGCTTTACTGATCATGACTCTAGGAGACTAGTGTACCCGAGTAAAACTTTATTTTGTGACATAGTTAACACTAGTTAATTAAATCATAGTAATTTGTTTATATTATTATTATAATAAAAATTATAATTGAGAAAGTTGGAAATTACTCTCAACCCCAAACCCATACCTCTACCCATGAACTGGGGTTTTCGTCTTTTCGAGTTCAGACTTTTTTCATCTTTAATCTACAGGTCCCTGGGGACCGCGGTGTCTTCCCACTTAGCCAACATTTTGAAAAAATACAAGTAAAACACAGGTAAATCTGTGTTGGCTAAGTGGGAATGGGGTGTAGGTGGAGAACAAAAGAAATTAATTACAAGTACGCAGCCTGTTTTATGGTGAATAATTTTTTTATTAATTTTGGTCTATTTTAACTCGATGCATTTTATCAGATAATCAAAATAAAAAAAAAAAACTTTCTAATTATTTTATGTAAAGATAGGGCTTTTTGTTAATTACATAATCATGCATATTTCAAAGTTAAGATATCAAGAATTTTTAACAACACCCCATTTATTTTTCGACTTTACATTTAGAGAACAGAAAAAAATTAAGTCAACTAAACTCTAGAAACGTTAGGTTTTACAAGTTCAAAATTGGTGAGAATTTAAATTTGAACATAAATCACATTAATTTTACCATGTACGAGTATATTTACACCACAGACACCCGACGTTACATATTTTTCTTTTAATAAAAAAAAAATATATATATACCCATACCTAATAATAAACGTTTATTATTAGGTATGGGTATATTTTTTTTATTAAAAGAAAAATATGTAACGTCAGGTGCCTGTGGTTTACACTTAAACCGCCGCCCCCTCCCCCCAGTGTTCAGTACCCCAAGGGTTCTTTGACTTTTTAAAATAAATATTTTTCTATTACATATTCACGAAGTATTACAACTGTAAAATCCAAGATTTAAAGCTAAAAACTAGCCTTTTATAAAAATTCATACTTTCTACTACTAAAACGATCTGTCGACCGCATGGCATATTCTCTTTTAGAATACTGCATGGCACAGTGGTTATAGCGTCTGCTCTAGATTCGCGAAGTAAGGAGTTGATCCTTATAAGATCCCTCATTGCTCAATGGACATATTATTAAGTGCTGAGCATAATGTTAGGATAAAATATGCAGCTGTCCGTCGGAAAGAGATGGCGTCTCCATATGAGTGAAAAATTCTCAAGACGTTAATTAACATACGTGTACAAACAAAACTAAAACAATCACCTTTTTTTAATCTTTTTTATTTTGTTTTGCTTGTCAAAGTTTTTTTAAAGGAAAGTTGTCACTCCACCCACCCACCCACACCACAGTTGCTTGAGGACAGAACCCCCCCTCAAATAAAGACCCCCGGGCCTGTTATTTTTTTTTCACATAAATTATATATGGATGACACATTTGTGATATGATCTATCCTATCAATTCAGAAAATTTGCTTAAACTGACATTTTATAATTTCTACCCCACCCTTTATATATAAATTAACCTTGTTGATTTTTATATAATGTTATATCAAGTTGTAAACCACTGCATAGATGACTTCACTGATCCATACACTTGCGTGTATGTAATATGTACTAGTACTTTATTATTTGTCTTTTGTAGGTAATATGGTTGTATGCCATCATGTTTGGTGAATCAATAAAGAAATTGAAATTGAATTAAATAATGAATGTAGGGTAGATTTTATAGAACGTTTGTTTTAGGCAATTTTTCGATTTGTTGGCATAAATCTTATCACAAATATGTCAATGAAAGATTATTTATGGGGAAAAAGTCGAAAAAGCCCAGGGGTCTGTATCCAGGGGCGGATACAGGATTTGTGGTTAGGGGGGGGGGCGTGGATAACTTTGTTGAGGCAAGGGGTTTGGGGACCGCCTTAAGGCCCCTAATGGGTTCCAGGGCAAAGCCCTGGTGGGGGCCCAGGGGGCGAAGCCCCCGGAAGCCCCTGGGTTTTCGTGTATTTTAGAGTAAAATCAGACACAATAATAGTGCATATTTTTCAATTATTTTTGTTAAAAGTATATAGCATATAGGTGGTGGCCCAGGGGGCGAAGCCCCCCGGAAGCTTCTGGGTTTTCGTGTATTTTAGAGTAAAACCAGGCACATATTAACCAGTGCATATTTTTCATTTTATTTTTGTTAAAAGTATATAGCATATAGGTGGGGGCCCCGGGGGCGAAGCCCCCGGAAGATCCTGGGTTTTCGTATATTTTAGAGTAAAACCAGGCACAATAATAGTGCATATTTTTCAATTATTTTTGGTAAAAGTAAATAGCATATCTATAGGTCCGGATGTTTGAATAATAAATGTATTGAATGTTTCTCAATTCTCATTGTATTGTAACACATGCCACTATATAATAAACGATTTACTTACTTATTACTTACTAAAAGTGGTATTGGTTAGTGATGTACCAAAGTACAACGTGTTTAATACTAATCATATCATACTTTGAATAGTGGGGGCCCAGGGGGCGCAGCCCCCGGAAGCTCCTGGATTTTTGTGTATTTTAAGAATAAAACCATGCAGAATAACACTTATTTGGTTAGTTTTGTACCAAAATGTGGCATTATAAATATCAGTCACATCATACTTTGAAAATTTTAGGGGGGGCGTGCGCCCCCCACGCCCCCCCTTAAATCCGCCAGTGGTATCGAAAGGAGGGAGGTCCTATCCTCATTCACCTGTGACCCACACACCTTTTTCCAAATATACTATGTGCCTGAATTTGTCTTATATACGACGAGATATTTCATAATTATTTTATTTTCTTATTTAGATAGGCCTTGTGAACAAATATGTACCATAAATCCGGATTATCGTTTCTTATTTTTTCTAAAATTAATCTACTTTACTAATTTCCGGTTCTCGGAAGTGCATGGATTCAGCTAGCAGACGACTTTGGAAATGTTGCACGATGATGGACAAAGTGTAAGAATTGCAAATTAGATACCTATATATAATTGTATCTGTATTTCACTCCCACTTTAAAAAGAGGCTTTACAAGACGATAAAAAGATCACATATCATCATATGCACATTCCACATACAGGTGCCAGTAAGCCAACTGAAGTCTGTATTCATATTTTGTCCATCATCGTTTTAAAACCCATATCTTTGAGTTTCTTTTCAACACTAAACCTACCATTTTGACTCTAGGAGGTTGTTTGCTCAAATAAAAGGGCAAAAGTCAATGAAACAGTTTGTTTTGGGATCTTTTGCCGCGCCTTTCATCTACTGTACATATAGGTCTAGTTGTCAGATCAATTTTTTTCAAATGACATACGGGCACCTGGCGTAAGGATTTGATTTTCGATGGAAAAAAGTACTGTAAAAATAAATGAAGTTCCTTGTCCCATTCTGGCAGTATAAATGTTACACTTAGGTATTTTTAAATGAAAAAATGCTTATCTGAAATTATTTTTAAACAAAACAAATATCAGTCCCTTGATAACACTCCGCCCCCCTTTTTCAACAGAAAATTGTGCCGCTGATATCGAATTCTTAAAAACTATAAGGAAAGTGCTAATTATTCCACAGAACAATATCCTTCAGTAATGTAAATGTAAATTGAAGCTTGATGTATCCTCAGTGATCATTGTGATAGTTTAGGTGGGTTGGTGTTATGAAGAATTCACACAACATTTAAGGTACTTTTCCAAAAAATGCAGTGCCATAAATTCCATGTACATAATTAATAATTAATGCTCATGTCAAATAGCCTACTCAATAAAAGACCCTTTTCTCAGAACAGATGAGAAATTAAAATCAGCATTAACAGACCAGTCTGATTAAAATCTGACCCTTTGATCAAAGGATCTGATTTTAGTAGATTGCATATCAATATACTGTTTTATTTCAACACCCATTTAGCTGTTTAGTTCCAAAAATTCGGTTATCAGAATCTTTATTTGGAGTCTACTAGAGTTACTTATAGATCTGTATCTGTACGATGAAGTAACCTATGTAGGCTTTTATACAACGGTAGATAGATAGAATGTGTTCATCGTTAATACAGCTACTAAGCTAACTGTGAAATTGATTTGAAAACCATTTTCGTGTATACTCACGCGTAGAAATATACACGGAGAAACGTGCGTTAACGTGACGTCACAATAAGGCTACAGCGACGTTAGTAAAAGTATAACGATATATAGGGCAGCGAGAAATTCAAATATTGGGTATATTTTTGGTGCTTCCAAACATGTAAAATGTAAATATAAGGAATGTTTTTTAAGTTTAGTGTGAATTATTGGTGTGTGAATCACACAGACTTGCACGTAGGCATATTTTTCATGAAGCGCTAGCGCGCTTAATTCATGAAATATGCCTACGTGACAATTAAGTCTGTGTGATTCACACACCAGTAACTCACACAAAACTTAAAAACATTCCTTAAATGTCCTACGGACCCGGTGGTGTAGGCCTGTCCCGAAAATAAATAGTTCAGAGTAAGCAATGACAATCTAATTAAAAATTTATACGTAAGATCCACCCGCATACTCGCTACACTAGTGGAGTAGTGCGAGCGGATCTAACTTCGAATTTCAATATTAGATTTAAGAAATAATCATGATAATGACTTATTCTATTTTTTCCCTCTTATTTCCGGAAAATTCTTGATATTAGCTTGAAGGTACGCACCACCCATTTCCTTTTATTTTTCATTACAAAAAACTTTCATAAACATTTTTCGGTTGATAAAATTGTTTAGATCCTCCCCTGGCATTGAGTAAAATATTTATTAATGGCGGAAGAATATCAAAAGAGATAATATAGTGCATGTTAATTGATGATGACATCTAATGAAAATAGAAATTTAGGTAATTTTATATGAATCAAAAAACATTTTACTTAAATTATCGTTTTATTATGTGTACTTTTTTCAAAAACAGCTTTACAGAACTTTATTATTACACGAACTACTTTTCTATAGAAGGTAATTTCATTGAAAATGGAGGAATAGGCACCAAAATGATGGATACTTTTTGGCAGTCTGCGAAAGCAACAGGCTAAAAATGGGGGATCCGCTTCGGAAATATGGAATGTTCCGTTGTTGTATTAACTGATGTAGGGCAATAATTGTATGCCTTGGGAAGATAATGGCTTGGATTTTTATTCACATCTTTGTAATATATGTGTTGTGTTCTGGTAAGATCTTATTTATCAAAATAAATGTTAATTTACATCTAAAATCGACATTTCAAATACACATTTACATGTTAAATTTTTCATCTTGTCACATTATTTATTGCTTGGACTAGTTGGAGATCAGATTTATCGCATTCTAAAAGACAGGACATATAAAATCCCTTTGATCTTTTTACATACATTGATGTATACAAGGTTTTGCAGTGTTGTTGGCGGATCTTATATCAGTTCATGTTCTTCTCAATGTAGTTCATCTTATTGCAGATCATCATTACCTAATGCACCAATTAGAATTTAGAAATTTAAATTAAACATTAGTTGACAGGGCCCTAGAGTGGGTGATATTTCACTTTTTACATCACACAGTATGTAAAGAAAATGCAAGTCACCTGGGAGGGTGTTGAAGCAGAATGTATTACATGCCTGTAGTGTTTATTTGATAGCCAAATAGAAACTTCAAAGCTCTTTATTTAGGGTTTTGTAAATTCTTTCTACAAGCCGGTACTTTGAAATGGATAACCTAGTATTTTATATAGAAGTTGGTATTGATCAATATTTTGAGGTATAACTTTTTTCTGCTTTTCCAACTTCAAGCATTGATCAATCGGTCAGCATGTGTAATTTCCCTTTAACTGCCGATTTCATTCAGTATCAAAAACAATTTTAAAAGGCACACTGTTTACTTTTGTAATGAGGAGAAAATGCAGTAGCACAAACTTGTTTTCTAAAGAAGAAAATGATATATTGATCTATTAGAACTATTTACATTTCATTTACATTTCTGGCTATTACCCTGTATGTATAATTCATTGATTATACCAAGATAATTTCCTGATTTCCCACTGCAGTTTCAAGTTACTTATGTGCTGTAAAAATTGCAAGAAAACCTCAACCCTCCTCCTATTAATAACTGATTCAATATTGTTAACATGATTAAGACCATTAATATCATACATATAAAAAGTTATATACTTGATTAGATTTGTATAAAGAGAATGCCTTTTAATGATTAACTTTAATCAATATTTCAATAAGTTGAACTTGAACATTATTTTCTCCAAATAACAAATAATAAATTATCCCCCCCCAAAAAAAAACAACAAAAAAACAACAACTGTGCAGTGAATGAAAAAATTGTTATCTTTGAGAAAAGTTCAGTAATAAAGTTTTACTTTGATTATTTACTTCAAATGAAATATCATTATTAATATATACTGATATTTTAAAGATTTAAAATGACAATTTGCATGTTTGAAATTTATTAAAAATTCCATGTTTTTGTTAGTTCATCGATATGAAGAGTATAGATTTGTTGGGAAAAGAAATCAATTGAATTCTTTAATACATAATTTTATTATATAATTCTGATAAAACTGAAAATTTCAGCAAATACTGACATGCAGAAAAATACTTTGAAGATGAATGTAGATGTTTTCATTCTTAATTATAATTAAGGATATTCCATGAAAACAAAGCCTTAAGGGGGAGGGGTGTCATCATATTTGGATACATTGGTTAAAATACTTGCATAGCTATAGATAGCTGAGATTTTCAGGCTATAAGTTTAATTATTTTATGCCTGTGCCAGTCTGCCAGATACTAATACAGACAGGTCTTGGTATAAATAAAGAACTTATTGAATATTTTCTTGAACAAGATCTAGAGATTTGAATACATCTTCTGTTTATTTTCAGGACTTTCCTTAGGTTTAGAAATTTACTTCAGTGATCCAAATGATGGATATTTTTTGAAATCAATTTATCATAAAAAACAGTCGTGGGATCCTTTGACTCGGAAGGAGGATTTTGTAGTCACGAGGCCCTCTGAGGGTTATGTGTTAGGAGTAAGGAGTGGTCCTTATGAAAAGGAGCAAGTGATTCCTCAGGATATATCCAGCATCTACCCAAACCTTGACCATGTGGACAAACCGATACATCATGGCACTGTGTTTGGGATGGATGTTTCAGCAAAAGTGGTCACAAACAGCCTTTCTCCAAAATATCCCCGACTTCAAGTTCTGATTCATGCCAGTCCTCACATAAACAGTAGGAAGTGGGACCGCCCCGCCAAAGAAACAGATCCCTCTAAGCTGGCTGTTGATGGGCTCTGTGGCCACGTGTTTGTCCAGCATGACAAGGAGGAACTGTCCTCCATCTGTGTTCTCGGAACAGGGGACAGTGCTTGTGTCAATGGTATTATGTTTCCCACATCGTGGTGGCATGAAAACTCTACAGTGCAAGTGTACTATGCATTTTCTCAGAAGGGAGAAAACCAGGAGTGTGCCAGTGCATCAAACTCTATCGTGCCAGGAAGGTTGTTTGAGAAACCTGTCATAAGCAGTAGGCGGTTTCTTGCAGACATTGTGTTGTCTAAAGATGTGAAAGGTTTTTACAGGGAGAGAGAGGAGGATATATTGATTGATGTTCCAACCAATGCATTTGATCCAGGCACAGTTTTTGAAGTCCCAGTGAAATTTGATGCAGGGTCTGACATGAGAAATCTTGTAATGAGGTAAAGTACACTTTCAGACACTTGTTCTAAAATTATTAAGCATAAAAAATCATTCTGTACATGTTGTTTTATGCTGTATGTTAGCTGGATACATGCAGGTAAATTTTGAATCTATTTCCACTCTTGCGAATACATATGGAAATTGCAATATTGTATAATTGAAAGGATAAGTAAATGACATTGAATTTCATAGAGGTTTCATATTGGAAGGTGTCATTCAATAATTTAATGACCTGTTAAATTTTATTATGCAGTGCTCGAGTGAGACAGGGACTAATGATTATTGGAGCAGAGGCAGATCAGAATAGTCCATGGCAAGTTCATGTGGACGTAGATGAAAATGAAAAGGCAGCCACTGTAACAGCTTATCTCAAAGATCCACTGAACTATAGAGTTTCTAATGTGTAAGAAAACATAATATATTAAGAAATACAAGAAGTTTCAAACATTGAACATGTTGAAGTATACATGTATTCCCAAATGAAGTACCAGTATCTCTGAGTGGATATCCTACAATTTTTAAAAACCATACTTCTCCTACAGTTTTGGTCTGATTTTAATACATAATATGTATAACTTGGCACAGAAGTAGATTTCACTAAGATACATAATTCCATGATTATTTTTTTTTATTTTCTTGAATGGTATTGTCAAAGTTACTAAAAATATAGACAATTCAATAAAACACATTTAGAATGCTACTCCTCCTACAGTTGTCATATGGTCTGATTTGAATGTATCTTGGCACACAGGTAGATAATACTAAGATAAAAATAATTACTTATTTTTGATTTTGACGAGTGATGTTGCCAAAGTTACTTAAAATTTGCATTTCAAATTCAGTAAGCTACTCCCTACAGTTTTGGTCTGATTTCAATATTACTTGGCATACGAGAAGATTACACCAAAAAACATAATTTTACTTAACATATTTCCATTTTGATGATAGGTGATGCAATAATGCAATAGTTGCTATGAATAGAAATTTCTGTGAAACACTTTCAAAACACTACTCATCCTACAGTTTTCTGATTTCAAGCACTTCTGCAAATGTTCTGAATTGTCCAGAACACAAATTCATCAATATTTAGTTGCTAATGCAGTTGACCAACGTTCACCCTTAAGTTCTTGCCACCAATTATAGAAAAAAAAGCAGAGTTGTGCCTTCTGCAACCTCCCCCAAAAAGATAATTTTTACTGAATTTATTATTCATGATTATAGTTTTTTTTACAGAGTTCAGGATGTGTTTGCTTGGAGGTTACAAGTGGAGCCGTCAGTTAGAAATATAGAGGCGGGAAGGGTGGTTTGGAGCATCAAATATGAGAAAGATAGTAGAGGAGAGAGGTACCTTCCCTCAGAGAGCCAAGTGATATCAAAGATTAACCTCAGGGACAAAGAGAATGCAAGGCTGGTCACTGTTCTAAAGGTACAGTCAAATGTTAATAAAAATAATCTATACTGAAGATGAGTAAATTCTTCAATTTATGGCCTATATTTTGTTAGGGCTATTCCAGAAAAAAATGTATGGGGGGGGGTTGGAAGGCACTTTTATTTTTACCCCACCACCCATACATTTTTAATTGCTTTCTCCCCCACCACCCATCAAATTAAAAATGCTTTTAATACAACCACCCATCTAAATTTAAAATACTTTTTTAAAGAATTGTTTTTTAAGTTATGTATAATAAAAATTTATGTACTTTTTCAAGCATTTGCACTTTATGCAACTTGAAATGAGTGTTCGCTTTTGGGATGTATCCAAACAATGGACTCATTTTAAAGAAAAGAAAAAAAATAAATATGATGCAAATCTAAATATTATGCACAAAACTTTCATTTTTTCATTATTTTGAAAATAGTTTTATCTTTTTTGAAAAGAATTTAGAAAGATATTTTTATGCAAATTTTAACAGAAACAAAAGTCTTGTAAGATTTTACAATCAGCTTTTTTTAGTTCAAGTCCAAAGTTCTTTTGTAATACAGGCCTGCTATAGCCTATAGGTTTCTGTTTTTTTTTGGGGGGGGGGCACTAAAGTTATGTAGGGCATTGTCTATTTAGTGGGACGTGAAAAAATACGAAGTCTCAATCCCATCTAACAACCGTGCAGGCACTTGTTTCTGAAATATATTTTTAAAATTTTTTTGTATGTTATGGCCGGGTTAAAAATATATTTGAGGTAACACTCAACAGGTTAAGGATTGGTACATGTTTGTATTGACATAATACATGTATATTGTTACAAACCCTGTTATATATAAACATTATTTTACACCGTATTTGGTATAAAGTAAAATATATGACTTGCAAACTCCATACTCATGCTCTAAAATGTTTATTATCAGATACGTTTTTTTCTACTTTCGGTTTTAATCAAACGATCTCTCTGATTGTTTCTAATATCATTTAATTTACCAATGTAATCACATTTGCATAAATTGCTGGAATGAAACTTGAGCTGGAAGCAACGAAGAACACAAGAACACAAAGAAATCGTGTCCCAATCCTCCACTGACATTGCACCATGTGCTTTTATAATTATCTGCCCTTGTTTCCGGTTTGTTCGATTCTACTTTCACTTTCAATGTAAACACACTTCTCAACTGTTTAGGACGTTTTTTTTTTTAAAAATAAATATCAATATTTACTGGCTTATACAAAATGTAAGGAAGGAAGTTCTTTGCAGTTGATTATTTGTGAGGGTAAGTGCAACCACCCATCTAAAAATATATCGGATGAGGACAACCACCCATGCAAATTTAATTGCTCCAGTCCCCATTACCCATACAAAAATATATGAAGTGCCGTCCAACCCTCCCATACATTTTTTTCTGGAATAGCCCTTACAGTAATCATATACATTTAAACACAGTACACTGTAATATTTTTACCTGAAAGAGTATTGTTATAAGCACATTTTTCTTAAAATACGTTTAGAAAACAAATTTTGATTGTTGTGTATTTTTGAAAAACTTATATTGATCCTGCAATGTTTTAGGTGTTTTATTCTAATACCGTAATAAGAACAATTGTCAATAATTTTTTTTCCAGGTGGACGAAATTTTGAATTTTGCAGTGTTAACAGGTAAAACACAGAGCTATCCACTACATGTGTATCTAGTGAGAGACGCGGATTCCCTATTCAATGCAGTGGGACATGCTGCTTGTCACTCAAAGCAGACTGATGTTTTAAAGGTTTGTTATGTACAGCAATACCTTTTCATTTATATTTACTGATATTAACACCATAGTTTTCTTAAAAACGTCAATAAATAAAAAAGTAGTTGATTTTATCAAGTATATTATTCAAACTTGGAATATTTTCTTCTCAATGCAAATATTTATTTTTAAAAAAAGTAATTGTTTCTTTTAGGTGGCTACGGACTGTTCGTACATCTATGTCAATGGGTCTGAAAGTCGAGGCTCACACAATGTAACCATTATAACCAAATCAGGCCAGCACACTGCCTTTACCAATGTTAAGGTCTGGATTCCTATGAACCCTCTAGATATTCAAGTTTCTGACAGTAAACTCAGCAGAATTCGTTCCTGGAAAGTTGGCTCTGTCAGAAGCAAAAGGAGGTAATATTTCCAAGTCTAAAAATACTTATTTTGAATGTTCATTATATTGTTGTTCTTTACCTGAAAGTGTTTCATAAACTTAAATTAAAATTCTTTACAAATCTTTTCCTTTTGTTTGGACTTCACTGATTCCAATTGAGTTCCTTGTCACTGTCTTTTTACTTGTTTTTATGTTTAGGTTTTTAGCTCACCTGAGCCGAAGGCTCAAGTGAGCTTTTCTGATCACATTTTGTCCGGCGTCCGTCTGTCTGTCTGTAAACTTTTCACATTTTCGACTTCTTCTCAAGAACCGCTGGGCCAATTTCAACCAAACTTGCCACAAAGTATCCTTGGGTGAAGGGGATTCAAGTTTGTTCAAATGAAGGGCCACGCCCTTATTCAAGGGGAGATAATTGGGAATTAATGAAAATTTAGTGGTATATTTTAAAAATCTTCTTCTCAAGAACCACTGTGCCAGGAAAGATGAAACTTATGGGGAAACATCCTCAGGTAGTGTAGATTCAAGTTTGTTCAAATCATGACCCCCGGGGGTAGGGCGGGGCCAAAATGGCCGACCAATGTTTTACATAGAAATATATTGGAAAATTCTTTAAAAATCTTCTTCTCAAGAATGACAAAGCCATTATTCATCATATTTATATGGAAGCATGTTCAGGTAGTGTAGATTCAATTTTGTTCAAATCATGATCCCCGGGGGTAGAGCGGGGCCAAAATGGCCGACCAAAGTTTTACATAGAAATATATAGGAAAATTCTTTAAAAATCTTGTTCTCAAGAATGACAAAGCCATAATTCTTCATATATATATGGAAGCATGCTCAGGTAGTGTAGATTCAAGTTTGTTCAAATCATGACCCCCGGGGGTAGGGCGGGGCCAAAATGGCCGACCAAAGTTTTACATAGAAATATATAGGAAAATTCTTTCAAATTCTTCTTCTCAAGAATGTCAAAGCCATTATTCATCATATTTATATGGAAGCATGTTCAGGTAGTGTAGATTCAATTTTGTTCAAATCATGACCCCCGGGGGTAGGGCGGGGCCAAAATGGCCGACCAAAGTTTTACATAGAAATATATAGGAAAATTCTTTAAAAATCTTCTTCTCAAGAATGACAGAGCCATAATTCATCATATTTATATGGGAGCATGCTCAGGTAGTGTAGATTCAAGTTTGTTCAAATCATGACCCCGGGGGGTAGGGCGGGGCCAAAATGGCCGACCAATGTTTTACATAGAAATATATAGTAAAAATCTTTAAAAATCTTCTTCTTAAGAATGACAAAGCCATAATTCATCATATATATATATGGAAGCATGCTCAGGTAGTGTAGATTCAAGTTTGTTCAAATCATGACCCCCGGGGATAGGGCCAGGGCTCGAGCTGTGATTCGCCATTGTCGCCAATTGCGAATTTTTTTCAAAAGTGGCGAAAAGAAATTCATAAGAGGCGAAAATGATTTTTTTTAGATGTACCATGTACAAAAATTGTGTAGTCCTGGTTAGCTCCTTTGTTTATTCAATGTATACAGATAACTCCCATTGTTTATTTAATTCAGCAGAGGTGTGAAATTTGAAACCAACATGTAGGAAATCACGTCTCGCTTGAACGAACACAGCTGACTAGGTAACTAGCCTGGAGCAATAAAGGGTTACAAAATTGCTTGAAATAATATAACTTGGATTAAACAGGGGGGGATAAAGTGTTATTAGGAGATGAAGTTAGTAAATAAAAAAAAATTATCAACAAAATCTGGATCTGTGGAGATCGTTTTTTTTAAAACCGAAAGTAGGGAAACATGACGAAAATTGTAAACAATGGCTTCAAATTTTACCTAATGAAAATTGAAAAATGTGTACATTATACCATAAACTGACAAATAGTGAAAAAGAAATTGGTTTGGAAACAGAATTATCTTAGTAAATTACACTGAATTATTTACAATTACACGAGCTTGCATATATATTATACCCTGGAGTCTAGAGTCCAAGTTGTTAAAATGAAGCCAAGTTTTAAAATTAATCTAATTCTCATTACTTTTTAATTACTACTTTTCCCAATTAATTAATGAAATGATGAAAATTTACATTTTTAAAAAATGTCATATATTTTTACTACGTCTGTAGCCCCCCTCCCCCCTTCCCGGGCAAACAAAAATTATAAACAAGAGGACATTTTCTGTCAAGAGTTGGCTGATATCAATTCAATATCAAATTAATTGTATAATTCCAACTTTATTTATTTTTTTTAAATGGACACTACCATAAGCTTTAAACATAACAATTTTAAAACAATGTCTGTGATAAACATAATAAAAAAAAGGAATAACATAAAGTGCATTGCATTGTCGAGAAATCAGATGTAATAATGCCTTTCCGTTTGTCGCGATAAGTGGCGAAAAATATTTTCGGTCCAGTGGGAGCCCTGGATAGGGCGGGGCCAAAATGGCCGACCAAAGTTTTACATAGAAATATATAGGAAAATTCTTTAAAAATCTTCTTCTCAAGAATGACAAAGTCATAATTCATCATATTTATATGGAAACATGCTCAGGTAGTGTAGATTCAATTTTGTTCAAATCATGACCCCCGGGGGTAGGGCGGGGCCAAAATGGCCAACCAAAGTTTTACAAAGAAATATATAGGAAAATTCTTTAAAAATCTTCTTCTCAAGAATGACAAAGCCATAATTCATCATATTTATATGGAAGCATGCTCAGGTAGTGTAGATTCAAGTTTGTTCAAATCATGACCCCGGGGGTAGGGCGGGGCCAAAATGGCCGACCAATGTTTTACATAGAAATATATAGGAAAATTCTTTAAAAATCTTCTTCTCAAGAATGACAAAGCCATAATTCATCATATATATATGGAAGCATGCTCAGGTAGTGTAGATTCAAGTTTGTTCAAATCATGACCCCCGGGGTAGGGCGGGGCCAAAATGGCCGACCAAGGTTTTACATAGAGATATGTAGGAAAATTTAATTCTTTAAAAATCTTCTTCTCAAGAATGACAAAGCCATTATTCATCATATTTATATGGAAGCATGTTCAGGTAGTGTAGATTCAATTTTGTTCAAATCATGACTCCCGGGGGTAGGGTGGGGCCAAAATGGCCGACCAAAGTTTTACATAGAAATATATAGGAAAATTCTTTAAAAATCTTCTTCTCAATCATTTTCCAAAAAATAGCAAATCCATGATTGGTCATGGGACTTCTTTTGGATTTAAACTTTACAATAAAAAGCCATTTTATACTAGTCCTACCCATGGTGCTCAGGTGAGCGATGTGGCCCATGGGCCTCTTGTTTACTCTCCTCACAAAGTAAGAAAGTTTTACTGACTGAAGTCAAACAAAGTGTAAGCTTTATATATCAGGTGCTTCAGTTGATATTAATATTTGAATTTTATCAGATCAAGACAGAAGCGAGTTGTAGATCTAGGGATGCTTACTCACCCCAGTGTCATCCTCAGTAAGAAATACAAACAGTATGGCAAGAGCTGTCAGCTACGTCTTCAGCAGGCCTTGGTTGATGTGTACGCCAAGTTCTATATAGCGACTCCAGCCGGATATGATTACTTTGTCAACAGACAAGCTGCCTTGAAAATTACAGACCTGATGGAGAATCAGTTACGTGTAGCTGACCCAAGAATTGTTAGCTTGGAGAACAAGGTCCTTCAGGGTCAGAGTCCAGGCTTAACTGAAATCCAGGTAATGCTCTATAAAGAAAGTTTATTTTTGAAGATTTCAAAAGATATTTCAAGCAGAATTTAAGGTTGAAAAACTTGATTAGCAGAGATTTTAAGATAATTTTGAAAGCTTGACTTGTTCTGAAAACTTTCCAGTATTTATGAGCAAAGTTGAGGAAATGAAAAGTTCAAGGAAAAACTTATGGCAATGATGTAGTTTAAGTTGGTCACTTATTTTTAACAAGGTAACATCAGCCAATGGGAGAGTACTAGCAGCTCGAGTTGTTCGGGTTGGTAATGACAAAGTCGAAATAGAGAGACTGATTGTCAACCTAGTGACAGGAATCACTCTAGATGTGTATCCCTCCAAAGAAATCTCCGGGGCCTGGTCAGCTAGAGGCCACATCTACAGCAAATTCCAAACCCAGTGGCAGGTAGGTATACAAAATAATGGGGTCTGACAAAATACAAGCCTTTTCAAAATGATTTTATATGAGCAGAATTTTCTTTGACAATCAGTTTAGCTGGCAACTATGTCCTTGAAAATATTGTTCAGTTATCGTCTTCATGTTGTACGAGATGGCCATAAAAAGTTGCTATTTTCATTATAATTTTTTTTTTCAGAGTGGAATATTGGACATACATATTGAATTCAGCGATGGAACACGATTCCCATTGGACAGAGTATCAGATACAGACTACTATCTAGAAGTGGTAAACAGAAACCATATTCTAATTAAAGTTATTGGAAACTTTGTCAGTAACCTCTCTAAAATAAAAGTATATGCTGTTTCTGATGGCAGAGCAGAATCCATTAAAGTATCTTTAAAACAAGGGGAAAGCTGTCCCAAGAAAAAGATGCCAACCCTTTCGTCTGGATACGTAATAACAGAGGCTGATTTCTCCGAAGCTAACCAGGTTCAGAGTGACCGTTTGATCAGTGATGGTCACTTTGGGGACAACAGGGCCAGTGACAGGTATGACAATTTCTACGCACCACGCAAACCTAAAGATCTAGATAAACTTGTCAAACATCAACAAAGTCACAAAGATCATGATGAAAAGAGCAAGAAAGTATCTAATGCAAATCCCAATTCACAAACTGTTGTTGTTTTAAATGAACTGGAAAAAGACCTTGCCAAAAGTAATCCACAGATTCAGGACTTGTCTAACATGAACTCTCCAACAAGAAAGGAACCTTTACAGAGTCCCGACAAATCTAAGTTATCTCCATTAGAGATTGGTATGTATGTACTTATTGCTGTATTCTGCGTTGGTATTTCTGTGTTTCTCATCAACTGCATAGTGTTTATGGTGAGACACAAAAAGAAGAGGAAGATCCACAAGAGAAATCACAAGGAACCTGTCTACCAGGCTAAGGATTGGGTATGGATCGGTAGAGCCACCTTAGAACGCAGCTCTGTAAAGACCGAGTGTTCGCAGTCTCTGATGCCCGCGGAGGATTTCAATGGAAACCATACCAACCATTTACGTTCTACTTCCAGTCAGAGCAGATCTGCTTCAAGCCGCGGAAACAGTGCCAACAGCAGTAATCGCAACAGCTTTGTATCTACAATCAAAGGATCTGAGTGCAGCATTCGTATCACTGCTAACCCTCTGTCAGAAGATGCCAACAGTAATGGTCATCGTAACAGTGACACGGCCAGCCAGTCTTCTAACTCTGTCCCTGACAGTAAGTGGGATTATGAGGCTATGGGGTTGACTTTTGATCAGTTGGCTGATTATTTTGACAATCTTAAGGAGTCCTCAGCTTAGTGATTTGTGTGTTAGATAATGTACACACCTGTAATAACTGTTTATTTATGACGTGTACGTTTACATATGTGATATTCATTTTATTTAAAAGAACCCCAACTTACATTGGCATTGATATGATTTTATATCACTTCTTATATCAGTTTATTGTTTCTATTGATTTATTCTTGTTTATCATGTTTATATATACATTTATATTGAATTGTTTATATGTCAATATTTTTTCCCACCTGCTATATATCTTTTAGTTTGTCTTATTGTTTTAGAGGTTGTTACCGATTTTCAAAGTTAATGTAAAACAGAGGCATTTTTTTAATGTTATATTTTCGATATTTGATATTTTTCTTGCAATATGCTTGCCATTGTAGTCACTTAATTTGTCCCAAGTATAGCCTTGGTCCCTAAAGTTTGATAAAGGTGTCCAGTTTGTGGACAAATGTTTCTAATATTTAAAGCATAAAAGGTGTCATGTAGGAGAAGATACAGTAAAACTCATTTTGTACAAAAACAGATATGGCAGGGAAGTTTTTTTCTGAATTTTCTGCAAAATTAACACTTAACAAATTAAAAAATATATATATATATAGTTTGATACAAAGAGGTTTAAACTCTGAGTTAACAGATTTATGAATATATGAAACTAATTTTGTGTCCCTTTTTATACCAAATTTTAAAGTTTTTAAGAAAATATTGAACCAAATTTAGTTTTCATAACTTTGAACCAAATTTAGTTTTCATAATTTATTTATGAAAGAAATTCTGTAAATTGAGTTATTTCATTTTTCTTTTCATTGTACATGTATTAAATGCTACCTGTAAAGAGATGTGTAAAATAATGTCCTTATGAAAGCATAGTTTGGCATTTGTAATTAAGGAGATAAAAGCATGGGATGGGATAAAAGCATTTTCATAAATTTCAAATTTTAATTTGAGATTCTGTTTAAAAATGGTTGAGGTATACTAGAGCTTAGACTGCTCTAGAGATAAATAAGTTAACTTTGTTGAAAGAATGCATCCAGGATTCAGAAACATCAAAGCTGAATTGCCAAAGAAGGTTATGAAGTTTGGAGCTGGCAATAGTCTTATTTGCATGTAAATGTCACTACAAATTTTCAACTTCCACAATTTATGATTTTTTTAATAAATGTTGAATTAGTATTGCAGGGGTAGACCTTTTATTTATTCAAGTCATGTATTTCAACTATAGCAATGTATTGTGTTCAGCTAGAATCTCTGTTATAGGAATGACATTTGATGTCCTGTGTTTATTTTAGATAGTTGTAGTAGTTTTAGCAGATTGGCTTAAATCAGATGGTGCATTTCCCCTTATGTATGAGTATATATACATAGAGTAATAAACTTTGGAATTTATTGAAGGAATTGTAAAAAGCTTTTAATCAACATTTTTGATACACTTGATTGTTACTTTTGAAAAGTATTAATTCATGTTGAGGGTACAGCAGATAAAGTTTGAATATTATATCTTCTGCCACATTGTTGCAGGACAAAGTTAAGATAAATAATGCATTATTTGGTCATTCAGACTCGTTTTTGATGAAACAGTCTCATTGGGTCAGTGTTTATGTATTTTCTTTTTTTTTTTTTTTTTGGTGCTAGCATTTATGTTAAAGCTTGAATCTCAGTTATTCAGTTATTCATTTTGAAGCTATTGGACATATTCATAACTAAAACAGCATTGAAAGTGATAAACTAAATTTGAAATAGCTAAAAATTAATTCTGTACTATGAAAATGTTCTGTCATCTGTGATGAAATTTACTTTTTTTCAGCAAGCTTGCTTTAAAAACGGATATTTAATGTTGTGAAAATCACCAAAGCTTTATATAAATGTTCAATAATCTGACATTTTTGTCAAGTACATTGTATGTCATGTGTGATTTTCTTCTAAGAAATGTAGAATTGGTTGTTAATTTCCCTTAATGTGAATTATTTTAAAATTAAATTATTACAGAAATTTACTGGTATTTTCATAACTTTTGATGATGAAGTTCTGTTATTAGAAATATTTTATGTCATTATCTGAAATCAGATGGGGATGGGTGATCTGGTCTCTTGCCTATTTACAGCTTATGTAAAAGAATGGAAAGCTGTTCTTCAGTATCTGTGTAGGATTCACAGTGACATATTTGATATATTCATAGGTTGATTACAGCACTTGATTAAAAGAGATTTGTTTGTGAAACATTTATGCCCCCGTAAGGCAGCTTATGGCAAAGGTTGAAGTTTCTCAATTGCAAGTCAAACTCCAAGGTCAAAATAGTTGGTATTTAAGGGAAGGTCTTGTCACAAGGCATACACATGTGAAATATGAAAGACTTAGTATATATTACTACCTATTAAACAGTTATTGCCAAGGTTAAAGTTTTTTAAAGAGGGTTAAACTCTAATGTCAAGGTCAAAATATTTAAAAGCATTAAAAAGTCTTGTCACAATGAATACACATATGAAGTACAAAAGCCCTTGCACCAACTGTTCAAAAGCTATAGCATTTTTTGTGAAAGTGGGTCAAACTCTTGGGTCAAGAGGTCAAATCTGGTGGTACCCAAAGAAAGTTCTTGACACAAGGAATACAGCTGTGAAATATGAAAGCCATAGCACCACCAATCAAAAGTTATTGGCAAAGTTAAAGTTCTTGCCTCTGATCTATTGACCTTGACCTTAGAGTTTGATCTACATTTACAAAAAAAATTTCACACTTTAACCTAAGCCATAACTTTTGAACAGATGGAGCTAGGGCTTTTATACTTCACATGTGCATTCATTGTGACAAAACCTTCTATTTGGTGAAAATATTTTTGACTTTTAAGGTTTAACCTTGACCTAAGAGTTTGACCCCAGAAAACTCAACCCTCGCCAGAAGCTGCCATTAGGGAACATCAATGTTTCACAAACACATCTTGTTTTTGACAGTTAGTAAGAGGCCTTCATATGTCATAGATGTATTTTTGTGTTGACCTTCCTTTGGATACCAACAATTTTGACCTATGAGTTTGACTTGCATTTAAGAAACCATAGGCTGTCATACGGGGGCATCAGTGATTATTCATTATACCCCCGCTTGAAAAGCGGGAGGGTATATTGTAATCGGTATGTCCGTCCGTCTGTCTGTACGTTTGTCTGTCTGTTACGCTTTGGGGTATCAATCTCTTATCCGCAACTCCTCTCATACCACTGAATGAAATTTGATGAAACTTTCACAGAATCTTTATTACATATTGCCATTGTGCACCTCCTATTTTACTTTTTGATCCGACACAAATTTTGGGTTTCCCATAGCAAAACATGGACACTGCCATTTTAAACACATGGGAGGCGGGGGGTATCGTTTAGTGAGCTCATTGCTCAGAGTCCCTCTCGTTTTAAATCTTGATCGACGTACGTTTTATTTTTATACCCCGCCTGAAAAGTGGGAGGGTATATAGTAATCGGTATGTCCGTCTGTCCGTCTAGCTGTCCGTCCGTCCGTCTGTTACGCTTTGGGGTTCCCATCTCTTATCCGCAACTCCTCTCATACCACTGTAGGAAATTTAATGAAACTTTCACAGAATCTTTATTTCATAATGCCATTGTGCACCTCCTATTTTACTTGTTGATCTGACACATATTTTGGGTTTCCCATAGCAAAACATGGACACCGCCATTTATGCACATTTGGGAGGCGGGGGTATCATTTAGTGAGCACATTGCTCACAGTACCTCTAGTTACATACATTTTAAAATAAGATTACATGATCAAAAATTTGCATACTGACAGACACATATAAATCATTTAAAATTATTGGTGTTTTCTGTCAAACAGACGTTTAAGTATCCCCTCAAAGTTCTTAATCCGAGAGAGTCACTTGATCGCCCCCCTTACCTGTCGAAATTCGATCGATTTTACCTCAACCCCAGCAAATACACAGGACTGAAACAGGTACTGGTTACAAGTTACACCCCCCAATTAGAATTTTACCTCAATGTCCACAACTTCCAGTTTGTTGACATGACACAAACAAAAATTGATTACATTCAAGTGAATTTATCCTACTGAATTTGATTGAAATAACTTTTTTTAAAAATCCATTGAAAACTATTAAATTATCTAGTTGCTTTTGATACGTTTTATTTTCCGTATTTTGCACATACATTGAAAAATTGATGCAAGTTTAAATATAATAAAAATGTAGATTAGAATGAACAGTGTTAACTTTCCAAATTAAAACTGTTCTTTTAATTTTGTTCAATCAATGGCAATTTTGTCGCTCCAGTTACAAACGCCTAGGTATGTTATAAATCTTATTTGCTCCCCAATTATATACCTATTAACTTTCATATAGTGGAATGAAAGTCTATCGGTCCGTGCTCTCCTTATCAGGATTTCCAGTTTAAGAGGCACTTTATATTCACCATAACTACCTTAAAATCGTTCTTTTTATGACTTTTGGCTTTAAACCAGGTAGGTATAACTGGATAAGTATGTGACAATCGGATACACATAGGGTCACTCGAATTGATATAAATCGTGCTACAAATCTGACATAAAACGTATATACATAAAGCTGGGGGATATTTGAAATGTTTTCATTGTTGTGTAAATTTTAGTGATGGAAGCAAGTGAAAAGTTAACCATACAGGCCCTGAAGGCGCACGACAAAGTCCATCCAAAATTTAAGTCTGCTGGCCGAAATCTAAAACAAAAGAGCAGGGCTTCTCTGTTATCCTCTCCTGAAGATCCAAATGATGTGAGTACAACTTTCTTAAAATCTTGATTTTTATCACTTAAGTTATTCATAGAGACGTTTAACATTTCCCTCTCTTTTTTCGCTGATCTATTTTGCTTAAGTTTTAGCTTTGAATTTAACAGCTAGAACCTGATGCTGAAAGATCTAGATGGCGTCACCTTTAAATTCATATAAATCCCTTGCCCACGAAAGTTAGATCTTATATTTTTTTATGCAAAGACGTAGTTACCTGAGGATTATTTTTAAACATTTATTTAAGGAAAACAAGCATGAAATCCCCTCCCTAAAAATCTAAATTAATAGTATTGGATTCGGAATATTAAATTGAGGGAATCTTCCATTTTTATCCCTTTGCAAGGGAGTTGAAGGGGATATTAAAAGTAATTAATGCAACTTGTGTATGTTGGTGGGTGGGTTTGTCGCCATGTGCGTAACGAAAGTGACGTAATTTGAATCGCGATCAATATCGAATGCTGCCTTGGTCCATATGCTCTTTTGCGAGAGGATGCTCTGTGTTCCAATGCCCGTTTTTGTTAGTTTGTTGTATTACGCAATATATTTTTTGATTTTTCTTCTCTTTGCAATTTTTTTGAGTGGCATAGCCTTTCTCTCTGTATAAAATTTTAAAGGAAAGGGAACCGATATATTTCTGATTTTGTCTGCACAAGAAATGACCCCCCCCCCCTTTTTTTTTTTTAAATTGGAATCAAAGTTGAAAGTTTCAATTGAATGTTTTATTTCCGTGTATGAAGTTTTTTTTCACTCAACCGGACGTAAATTTATTAAATCGGATTAAATCTTAAAATTAAACAAACGCATCCTCAAATACGTGATCTTATTTTTCTTATAAAATCAGCTGTAAATACCTTCCCATTTAGTTTTCCTCTAATGTACTATTTATTTTTGATCGAACACCTGGAACGCGAAATTTATCAAAATGTTTTGTATACAAAATATAGGGCAATCCATACAGTTCGAGAACAAATTTGTTAAAAACAAAATGTAAACAAATCAACACTATACGTTAATGCCTCGCTACCAGAATATCCGGACCACCAAGAACGCAGGGGTTTTATGTATAGGACAGGAACTTACACGAACTATTCTTTGAACACCATTTTATTTAACGTGTATTTATATAAATCAATCATATTCAGATCCGTGAATTATTAAGTATTTAATACTTATTGCATTTTCTTGAATTTTCATCCTTAAAAAAAAAAATATTATATTTCATGAGAATTCGAACAAACAATCACGAATGTTTTTTTACAATCTAACTCTCGCAATAAGAAAATGAAAAATACTTAGAATGTAAATTCACTGTTTTGCCATGAAATTTCTCTGATTTAAGTAAAAACTGTTAACATATGTCACTTACAGGTTAGAAATAAACAGGATGAAGGGAGCAACAGTCGTAGAAGTAGGACCCTATCCACCAGTTCCCAGTCTAAGAAGTCTGAGCCCCCCGCTCCAAGGCGCTCCGGAATTACCTTCTTCCGTATAGTCGCCGCTACACGCGCATGGCAACGTCTTGCTAAGAAGAAGAGTAGCCAAGCGGCCGCTCCAAGCAAACCCCAAGTTCGTCTGGAAAACACGTACCAGCTGGAACCGGAGGACAGTAAAATATTTATACCTAAAAACGCTGAAAAAATAATTCAGGAAATATTTGATTCTAGATTGCAACTAGTAAAATACGATTCTGTACGAAGTAAACTCCTTGCAAAAGATCTGGCAACGGTCATAAACAAGAAAATCAAAGACTTGGAAATTCCTCGCTACAAGACTGTGAGTTCTGTGACAATCGTTGAAAACAAAGGTCAAGGACTCAAAGTCGCCACACGGTGTATCTGGAATACCACCACAGACAATTATGCCACATACACCTATACCAACCAATCACTGATCGCCATCGGTCACGTGCACGCTGTATATTTTGAATGAAATGAACATTTTTTTTTTTCTTTTCTTTTCTTTTCTTTTTTTTTTTATTTTCTAACAAGCCCTAATTGCAAAAACACAATGTGTTCTTATTATCCTAAACATCTTTTATATATATATATATATATATTATCAAACTGTTCGACCTGTTGAAGTCTTTCGGACAATTTTAAAACAATATAATATGATTGAGGAGTTGAATTAATTCAGTTTTAGTTTTCCATCGTCAACTTTCCTTCTTTATATAGTAACAGTCTGCTAGGGGACTATGGGAGTGTATGAAATAAATTTAA